TTCCATCGTCGTATGTTTGACGAATCCACAGAAAACCGACTAGGTAGATTCCACCCAGAAGATGGACGACTTGTGAAGTATGGCGTGTGGGATGCCATCTATAAAGACATGGGGCTTTATAAGATACCGCCTACTTGGTGGCCTTCTTCTTTAAGCTACTCAGATTTTTATTCTTCAAGCTCTTCAGAAACTTCTGACTCTGATGGTAAGTTGTTTGTGCTTGAGTTATTTTTTCCTGTAGTTGTTGGTAAGGAGAGTGTTGGCGGTCACACGAGTGAGGGTTGTGTGATGCGGAGGTTTGAAGCGTTCCTTCACTGTTGAGATCCGCCTGTCGGTTGAAACAGTGTTTGACGATTGACTCTATATTTGTCGCTCCCTTGTAGAATTTGAAGACAACTTTGTCTTGGCTTATGACGACTCTTCAAGAAGGCAACTGCACATTGGCGAGGAATTGGGTAGACCCTTTGGTGATATCATCCGCATTAAGTTATGCTTCTGGGGAGATTTTAAACCGTGATTACCAATCTGAAGTTAGTTTTGACATTACCCTAAATGGCGTACATGAAGCAAAGTGGCAAACGATCGCGGTTGGGAGTGATCAACGTGTTTGTGATACTCCCTACAATGTGGCGAGATCTAACTGGCGATTCGCGGTGTATAAGACTCACTTCACAGATCAGAAAGTAAGATTTCCTTTATCTGAGTTCAAGATGGGAGTGCTCGCCCACCTACAAGTTGCTCCTTCCCAATTGCACCCAAACGCATGGGCGTTCGTTCGTGTCTTCGAGAAGATATGCCAGTATTTTCTAATAGTGTATTCTGTACGATTGTTCTTTTATTTCTTTCAGGTGTCGCCTTCGTTGAAGAGGCTAGGTTGGGTTTCATTGAAGGCGGGTACTGGAATAGGATCGATATTTTCTCAGTACGCCAACTCATATAAGAACTGGCGCTATACATACTTCTGGATCGAACCGGTGCTGAGTAAGGGGGAGTTACCTTTTTTCATTAAGCCGACGAGTAGGGAGAGTCGGTTTCCTCTATATTGGACCAGGGCCCATTATGAGACGTCCGCCGGACGTTATTCTTTTGAGTGGGGAGCCTTGTCTCCTGAGGAAGTAATGGTGGTGGATTGGTTTGTGAAGGTGAAGGAATGCCTTGACCGGTGGCCTTCAAAGCAAGTGTTGTGTCATGGAGGTGTGATGGCGTTTAGTATTATTTGCTACTTTGGTGAGTCTTAACTGTCTTTACTAACATTTGTCTTTCCCCTCTTGCAGTTGGAAATTTTTCGATGGAGACTCTGAGGCTTGCACGGGAAGCAGCGGCTAAGCTTAAGGCCTCAAAGGGCGTGACTCGGCAAATCCAACCGAATCTCGCCCCGAAGAGGAAAGACACTAATAAAGGAAAGGAGAAAGAAGTCCAACCGAAGAAGAAGAAGATTCGAACTGCTGCAAACATTCCAGCGGGCGAGATGGAGAAGAGGGCGACTGGCCCTATAATTAAAGAGCCCACTGGCGTGATGGGTAGCTCATCCGCTAGCGAATCGACTCTGGGGTCAGGGTCGCCTGCTATTGGGGGGTCCCCGCTGAATAGAAAGGGAGATGAAAGCTTGACTCTGCCCCGGGCCTCCAAGACTCTGCGCCGCGTGCCATATGGGCGTGAGCAGTTTGCTAATGAAGCGGGCAATGGTGATATGCTGGTGAATAGTGCTGGCGATGTTGGAGAGCCTCGCCAAACAGCTGGCGCGCAAGACTCCCCTCCTCCACCTCCTGTTGAGATCCCTGTTGGCAGGGCCCTCAAACTGTTTGAGAGGGACCTTGGCAATGGATTTCCAAACATTGGGCGTCTAAAGATGACGGTGCCTGAGCGCGTTGATCGTCAGGCATTCATGAACTGTACCAAGGTGGTCATTGGCCGCATCTTGGGGATGCAAGAGATTGCCCTTGCAGTTGATGACCGATACTCTTCTCAGGAGGAGCGTCTTGATGAATTTGTTCGACGAGTGGATGGCCTTACTGCTGAGGTTGGACGCCTTGGTAAGGAGGTTGCTGACAGGAAAACTACCAACAAGTCACTCTCTGGGCGACTGAAGAAGGCTGAGGGGGAAGTTAAGCGGTTGTCCTCTGATAAGGCTGACTTGGCAAAGTCCTTGGAAGAGGTCAAAAAGGAGAATGAGGATCTTCAGACTGACCGAGACCAACTGTCCGCGAATTTGTTTGCTGCGCAAGGAAGCCTCCACGCCAAAGACGAGGACTTCAAGAAAGCCACTGGGCAGGTGGAAAAGTTGGAGGAAGCATTAGCTGAAATGTATGTTTCCTTCAACAACGCGCTTCAGCAAGTTTCTGTGAGGTATCCAGAGCTTGACCTCATTGGTTTCACCCCCGACTATGAGTTGGAAGATAACAAGATAGTCGAGCGCCTTGCGGGTGGTGGAGTGAAGGTTATTGAGGATAGGCCTGAGACTGATGGAGACGAAGGTGCGCATGAAACCCTCCCGGCCAGTGACGCCGACAGTGGCGACAATCCTCAAGAAGACGAAGTCAGACGTGCCGTTCAGACTGAACCTGTTGATGAGGTTTTGGCTGGCAAGGACGTGGCGACTGGGGGCGACGTTGCAGTAGAGGGCGTGATTGACCAAGCTTTGGGCAACGCGGAGGAGGGCGCGATTGACCAAGTTTTGGGCAGTGCAGAGGTGGGCGTGATTGACCAAGCTCGCGAAGCTTCTAATGGCAACGTCAATGCTGGCGATCATCAACTTGACTCTTAATTTTTAACATAAGTTTTGTACGGTTGGTGTGTCGGCCGGTAGCTTTATTAACTTTGCCATGGTTGGTATGTCAACTGTGGATTTGTACTTCGTTTAATCTTCAATGAATTTGTTTCCCTTTGTTTTCCTTTCCAGCATTTTGACTTGATGTATCCGTTCATTGGTTGGGCATTGTCTGGGGTGGGGATCTCCCATGTGTATCTTTAACGGGGGTGATAATCATCCCGTTAGTTGGGCGTTGGATGGGGGTGAGAACCATCGCAGTCCAACGTTTAGCGGAGGTGAGAACCGTCCCGTTAGTTGGGCGTTGGCTGGGGGTGAGAACCATCCCAATCCAACGTTTAGCGGGGGTGAGAACCGTCCCGTTAGTTGGGCGATGGCTGGGGGTGAGAATCATCCCAGTCCAACGTTAGCGGGGGTGAGAACCGTCCCGTTAGTTGGGCGTTGGCTAGGGGTGAGAACCATCCCAGTCCAACGTTAGCGGGGGTGAGAACCGTCCCGTTAGTTGGGCGTTGGCTAGGGGTGAGAACCATCCCAGTCCAACGTTTAGCGGGGGTGAAAATCGTCCCGGTAGTTGGGCATTAGCTGGGGGTGAGAACCATCCCAATCCAACGTTAGCGGGGGTGAGAACCGTCCCGTTAGTTGGGCGTTGGCCGGGGGTGAGAACCATTCCAGTCCAATGTTTAGCGAGGGTGAGAACCGTCCCGTTAGTTGGGCGTTGGCTGGGGGTGAGAACCATCTCAGTCCAACGTTAAGCGGGGGTGAGAACCGTCCTGTTAGTTGATCACGTTAATTGACTAAGAGTTGGTGGATTGGCGATCAGTTCATTGAAAGTGTGAAACTCTGCCTTGTTAAAAACCTTTCCTAGTAAAACCCATTGGGACAAAAGCATAGGAAAGGAAAAGAGTGCAGGAAGTGTTACATGATAGTTTAACTATAATACTTCTTAAGTTTATCTGCGTTCCACGCCCTTGGTATCGCTTTTCCCTCAAGTGTTTCGAGGAAGTAAGCTCCCTTCCCCAGTTTGTTGGATATCCCGTACGGTCCTTCTCAGTTAGGGGCGAGCTTTCCTTCACGGGCGTTCTTATTTCCTATGTCTTCTCTTCTAAGCACCAAATCTTTTTCTTCAAAATTCCGGGGGATGACTTTCTTGTTGTGATAAGCGGCAAAGCTTTCCTTTGACTGGCAATCAGACTGTGCGGCCCTCTGAGCTCGTCCAGCAAGTCCAAAGCTTCTTTCATATTTTGGGTGTTGGCGATCTCAGTTACATGCTCTCGTCGCCAGGAGGGTTCACCAATTTCTACAGGAATCATAGCTTCTGTGCCGTAAGTTAGCCTGAATGGTGTCTCCCTAGTAGATGATTGGGCGGTTGTCCTGTACCCCCACAGGACGTTGTCAAGGTTGTCTATCCACGCCCCTGTGTGTGCTTCTAGCTTCTTCTTAATTCCTTTTCCCAGCATTTTGTTGGCCGACTCCACTAAGCCGTTGGATTTGGGGTGTTCAACTGCGGCAAAGTGATGTCGGATTTGTAGACTGCTCATTAACTCACGGAATTTAGCGTTGGTGAATTGAGTGTCATTATCAGTAATGACTTCTCCGGGGATGCCGAAGCGGTAGACAATGCTTCTCCAAAAGAACCTCCTTGCTTTCTGGGATGTTATTGTGGCTAAGGGTTCTGCTTCTACCCATTTGGTAAAGTAATCTATGGCGACAAGTAACAATTGGACCCTACCAGCCACCATGGGGAAAGGGCCCAAGATGTCGATTCCCAATTTGTAGAAAAGCCATGGCGGGGTGATTGACATCAACTCTTCAGGCGGTGCTTTGTGTATATAAACGAACCTCTGGCACATTTCACACTTCTTGACGTGCTCGTGGGCATCACGCTCCATAGTAGGCCAATAAAACCCAGCTCTTAGTGCTTTCTTTACCAGCGAGTGGCCGCCCATGTGGTGGCCGTTGATTCCTTCATGGATTTCTTCTAACACGTATTGAACGTCGTCTGGATTCAAACATTTCAAGAGTGGGGTTGAATGTGCTCGCTTGTACAACCGCCCTTGTACTATGCAGAAATGTGCGCTTCGTCGCACTATTTTTTGAGCTTCCTTTCGATCACCGGGTAGGACCCCTTCAGCCAAGTAGTCGACAATGGGTGTTGTCCAGGCTTCTTTGGCGACTTCAAGGGCTGATTCGGAAATGCTCATGACTATGCATAGGTTTGGCATGTTATGCTGGATTACTGAACGATTGTTACCAGAGCTTTTGGTGCTCGCCAGCTTGGCAAGGATATCAGCTCGGGTATTTTCAGCACGCCTGATATGCTCCACCTCAACGCCTTCAAAGCTTTCCACAACTTTTTGACCTTTTCTAAGTATCTGCACATCAAGGGTCCTTTGGTTTGGTACTCGCCGGAGATCTGACATGTTACCAACTGGGAATCACTGAAGACTTTGAGGCGTCTGGCTCCCATTTCTTTCGCTTGGATTAAGCCAGCAATCATGGCCTCGTATTCCGCCTGGTTATTAGTGGTGTTGAATTCGAAAGACAAGGAATGTTCGACAGCCACGCCTTCTGGATTTTCGACTATCATTCCTGCACCTAAAGCTTTGGCGTTTGATGAGCCGTCAACATATAGTTTCCATACCCCAGATAAAGGCGTTTCTGCTGCCTGGACGTTGGGTGGGGGACTTTGCGTCATTTCGGCAATGAAGTCAGTAAGGGCTTGAGCCTTAATGGCGGTTCTTGGCTCGTAGGTGATTTGGTACTCCAACAGCTCAATAGCCCAGGACATCATTCTTCCAGCCAGATCTGGCTTATGCAAAACTTGGTGGACCGGTTGATTGGTCCTGACGGTGATTGGATGGCACTGGAAGTAGGGTCTCAATCGCCGCGCGACAAAGATAAGCGTCAAGGCTACCTTTTCCACTTGTTGGTATCCAAGCTCCGCTCCTTGTATAACTTTGCTAATAAAGTAGACTGGCTTCTGCCTTTCTTTTGATTCCTTTATTAGTGCTGCACTGATCGCCTCGGCGCCCACGACGAGGTATAAATATAGCATTTCTCCCTCATCTGGTTTGGCGAGTACCAGTGGGCAAGAGAGAGCCCTTTTAAACTCTTGGAAGGCTTTCTCACATTCGTCTGACCACCGAAAGGTGGTCCCCTTTTTGAGTAGGCTAAAAAGGGGAAGAGACTTATGTGCCGAGTTACCAAAAAACGAGTGAGAGCTAACCTTCCAGTCAGCTGTTGAACCTCTTTGATTGTTTGCGGGCTTCGCATTTCAATGACTGCCTTGCATTTGTCAGAATTGACCTCGATACCTCGCTCAGTAAGCATGAAGCCTAGGAATTTTCCTGCAGGGACGCCGAAAGCGCACTTGCTGGGATTTAGGCGCATGTTAAACTTTCTCAATCTTTCGAACACGCCTTGAAGTTCTGACAAGTGCTGCTCTGGCGTTTTAGATTTGGTGATCATGTCATCAATATAAACTTTGATGCAGTCGCCAATCAGGTCTCTGAACACTTCGTTCATCATCCTTTGGTATGTGGCTCCTGCATTCTTCAAACCAAAAGGCATCATTGTATAACAGTAGTTGGCGTTCTGGGTGATGAACACCGTTTTGTCCTAGGTCCTCCTCCAGCAACAGGATTTGATTGTAACCCGAATACGCATCCATGAAAGATAACATTTTGAAACCTGATGCGTTGTCGACCAGCTGGTCGATGCTTGGAAAAGGATAGGCGTCCTTGGGACAGACCTTGTTTAGGTCTGTGTAGTCGACACACATTCTCCACGCGCCATTCAGTTTTTTCACCAATACTGGATTGGACAACCAAGTAGTGTACTTGATTTCCCTGATGAACCCGGCATCATGGAGCCTTTTAACTTCCTCATCAATGACCTTCTGGCGATCTGAACCAAACTTCCTTTTCTTCTGGGAAACTGACTTTGCTTTGGGATCCACCGACAAACGGTGGCAGCATACTTCTGGGTCAATACCCGACATATCTGACGGTTTCCAAGCGAACACATCTTTGTTGTCTCTCAGCAGCTTGATCAACTTGCCTTTCATTTCGGGGTCATTGGTCGCCTCGATTGTTGTTGTCTGATGATCTGCATCGCCTAACAAAACGTGTTCCAATGCTCCATCGGGCGTGGGTCTGCCGTGCTCCACCCTAGGATCGTCCCGAGCGTCAAACTCCACTAAGAAACATTGGTTATGCTCCTTCCCCATCTCGCCAGGACCTCCTTCAGCTGGCGGGGTTGTCCTCTGTTGGGGTGTCAGCTCATCTTTGAGGGTGACTTTGGCCATTGTTCGCAAGGATATGTTGTAGCAGCTCTGGGCTACTATCTGATCTGCTCGCACCGTTGCGACTTTATTATCTCTAGCTATGAACTTCATCGCCAAGTGGGGGTGTGAGACGCTCGCCTCAAAGGCGACGAACATCCTTCTGCCGAGGATGGCGTTATAGGCTGATGGAGTGTCAAGCACTACGAACTGGATGTCCGCAGACCGTGAAGTGGGTGGCGTTCCAAGGGAGAGACGCAAGTTGATCACACCCAGCGGCTTAGTGGTAGTAGCATTGAAACCTGAAAGTTCACCTGCAACAGGAGTTAAATCATTAACTGTAAATCCTAATGCCCTAAAACATGGCAAAAACAAAATATCAGTAGAGATGTCGTGATCAACAAACACGCGATTAACGCCAAAGTTGGCGATTATTACTTGAATGACGAGCGGATCGTCATGCCCTGGGGGACGTCGCCTAGATCGCTAATGTCCCAAACGATTTTAGGGATGGTTGGACCACAGTCGTCTTTTGCTTTGCTGATGACTTTGCCTGCGACCCCCAAGCACTGTTTCAAGTGTTTCTTCCTGGCGTTCGCTGTTTCTCCTCCTCCGCACAATCCGCCAGAGATCATGTTTATCACTTTGTGCTTGATGACAGTTGAGTCTTCCTCCTCGTCCTCTCGCCTCCCTCTGCTGCTTGGGCTTGTTTATCCTCTGAGCCTTCTTGGCGAGTCCTCTCTATTGTCACGCTCATGGCGGGGTCGTGCATTGGATTGGTTGGTTCTTCTCCTCTCTGGCGACTTGCTACGCTCACGGTGTCGCCTTCCAGTTCCTGCAGGGCGAGCACCATCTCCTCCCCGTCTTTGAGCACCGCCTTTAATGAGTTCGTCAATCTCGTCTTTGAGTGCCTGCATTCCTCCGTGTTGTGGCCGTTGTTGCGGTGAAACTTGCAGTACGCTGCGGCTTCTCTAGTCGGCCGCTGGTTACTTTTAGGTTCCTCTTTGTATTCAGTCTGCAGGACACTGTGTGATTGGCGTCCTGATGTGTCGCGCCCTGTAGGGCGACTGACATACTTAGATGATTTGTGGCCCTTCCTACTTTCATTAGTGTGGTTCTTACCTTTACTGATCGTCTTATCTTGGTTGTGGGAGTCATCGTCTCGGCTCCCTTTGTACTCTTCAATTCTCATGAACTCCTGGGCTTTTTTCCTCACCTCTTCTAAGTCAGTAATTTCATGGCGGGCGAGCTCGTATGCGAACGCTCCCTGTCGCAAGCCTGACAGGAGTATATGCACCTGTACTTTTGGGTCCAAGCCTTGCACTTGCAGAGCCTCTTTATTGAAACGGTCTAGGAAGGATCTGAGGGACTCGCCAGATTGTTGTCGAATTTTTTCAAGGGAATGGACGGACTCAGGCACAGGGCGGCTGGTTACGAAATGGGACTGAAACTTGCTTGCCAAATCATCCTAAGACGCAATGCTACCGGTTGGTAGGGTTGTGTACCATGTCAGCGCTCTCCCTCCCAGAAGCGTTGGGAAGGTCCTGCACATGAGAAGATCTGTCTCGCCATGAAGGGTCATTGCCGCTTCAAACTTTTGGACCCACTCGAAGGGATCAGTGTCGCCCACATACGTGTCGATGTTAGAGGGGCCTTTGAATCCGAGGGGTATGGGGTCAACCTCAAGCTATCAGTCAAAGGTTTGTTACGCCCTGAGGTGTGAGCGGGCGTTATTCTCATATTGGGGTTACGAGCGTGCTGGTCTGGTGGAGGATGAGGTATTTGTGGGGCTTCGACAGAGTAAGAGAGGGCTGGGGCTTGGTGAAAGGCTTGGTGGGCGCCATATAGTTGCTGGTCAGGATTCGGACAAGATGCCTGGGGTTGTGGAAAGGCCAAGTTATGAGGTTGCATGGCGTAACCATGGAATGGGAAGCCAGCGTGGTAAGGTTGTTGGAAAGGAGCAGCCACGTTATGTGTGTATGGTCCAGGAAGATACGGGGCAACCAAAGGGACTCAATGGTCATTGTACATTGCTACCGGCTGACTTAGGGCCGGTAGCTGTTGGGCGAGTTAGACTGCTTGTGGAACAGCAGTGGGAAATGGCATACCAAAATGAACTCCTGGCGGTGGGGGTTGGTTTAGGACCAAATTTTCTCCCTGCATCTCCTGTATGGCTACGCGATGATTCAGCTATGCTAATCTAACGCCAGTTGTTGGCAACTGTGGACCAACAGAATGTAGCACTGGGGGAGGGGCCTCGCCTGCCGCTCGCTCTGCTGGGGCTGAATGCATGGATGGTGGGGAGTTCGGGTGTACTGTCTGTACGTGCCCTTCTGGCGTTGTAGCCCTAGCTTGTTCTGCTCTTTTGGTGGTGACAGCCATGTTCAGTCGTAGGTTGCGTCTTATGGTTCTTTGGTAGGAGAATGGGAATAGAAGTTTATAGTTCCCCACAGACGGCGCCAATGTACCGTTGGGATCTATAAGCCTACTATGTTCCCTTCACGGATGAGTCACTGTATGGAGAATACCCTTAACTCAGGTACAGACCAGGCTAAGAGGTACTGTGCCAAGTATAAGCAAACAATCAACAATGGATAATTAAAGGATTATATGACTCAAAGTAAATGGGCAGAATCACGATACATAATGTCTCTTCCTCGTGTGCCCAAAGGGGCTATTTATAGGAAAAAAGGTGTGGGTTGGTGAGGAGGGGGTCAACCCTCCTTGGGATTCACCCCACGGTGGCAGTGTTAGGCGTGGCGGCGCTGCCGTTGTGGCAACGCTGCGCCTTCTGCGTCTGACGATGTCAGCGTTGGGCAAATGTGCAGTTTCTCTTTATGGTGCGTGTGACGATCGTCTTTGAGGGTTGAGATCCTTAAGTGGGACATTTTGGTGTTTTCCTTGGATGCGTCGCAACGTTGGGGGCTGTGAGGGCCCGCGTCAGCCCTTAAGACTGACGTGAATTGGAGCTAGGGGTTGGGCTTGAGCAATTGAGCTGTTTAGGCGTTGGGCCATCCGGAACATGGCCAAACCATTGTGAGGCCCATTGATAGATTCTAGTATCTACCTTTTCGGTTATTAGGGGCTAAGTCACGCCTTTAGGATTTTTAGTCATAAACTTGTATTAATATACTTCCTTTTCTCTGTTAAATTTCTGAAGTTGACGTCATCTTCGAATTGTCGAGGGTGCTACTTCCTATGATTGTTATTTAGTGAATTAATATACAGAATTTTAGTAAATTATTTATCAGAGTTTCACACATCTAACTAGCCAAAATCGGTGCATAAATTCATATATATTATCATTTTTTTGTTTTTCTAGATTCAGCCAACAAATATATCCATATGCATATATTGACAGGCCTAGATAAGTATGATAGAATCAGCCTTTAGCCATTGTCTATCTCTTATCCTAGATTAGAGTCCACAATAAGAATATATACAAGTAACAATTAATATTAAGATTACTTTATCTAAATATTTAAGTCCTGTATAAATTTATCACATAGAAAAACTAATCCTTCGTAGAAGTAGATACATTCTATGTATCCAAAAAAAAAAAAAAAAAAAAAAGTAGATACCATACCAAAAAAAGGGGTTAACTCGTGATGAAACCTGTATTAGGTAATGCAAACAATACCTTCGAGAATGTATTGAAGCAAAAGAAAGAGAGTGAAAAGATAAAAATCAGTACCTCAAAGCAAAGAAGCTCTGAACTTGAAGATGAAAGATGGCAACAGAAATGGCTCATGAGATGAAAGGTTAAACTATTCACGAGACTTGCAATTCACGAGAGTCTGCAACTTGTTTTTGGCTACTGCTTCTCAAAAAGGACAAAAAATTTAGCTTTTAAAAAAAAAAAAAATTTTAGCATTTTCATTAATTTGTGTTTTTTTTTAAAAAAATTATCATCCAAACACTGTTAAACACTTTATTTTAAAAAAAATAAAAATAAAAAAATAAATACTTTCTATGGAGAAGCCCATCCAAATGACTTCTTAATTTGGTTCGGTGTTCTATACCCGTTTTGTTTAAATCAAAGCAGAGCTGTTGATCATGAATTTGCATGCGGATCAAGGCTCCTCGGCTTGAGCTAGGGAGGGCCTCACACAGTATCAGTCCCGTACAAATTCAATTTTGCTACAGTGAGACTGTCGTATATCCTACTACTTTCAGAATGAATAAATAAATAAAAGAAAATTGATAAAAATAACTAGAAAAATAAATGACTTCTCACCATCAAGTTAGAAGATTGGTTATAAAATAGGAATGCAGTCAAATTTCAAACATAGTACAGAGACACTGTAAATCCTCGTTACACGATTATTTTACATTAAAAAAAATTAAATTAAATTAAACACTCACCAACAAGTTTGAAGTTTTGATACAAAAAAGGATTACAATCAACTTTCGATCCCAAAATGTAGCCCCACAAAGCAGCATCCATTTTAGAAAACTAGGGCCGATCAGAACAGGGGAACAACTCAAATGGTTTTAGAAAACAGTTACAAAAGATAGACAAATATAGGGCCTTTCCCTGAATTGAAACATGAGATAAGAAAAAAACACATGTCAAAACTTGAGGGCGCCCCAGAGATCGTTACGTGGCCGGGTGAAATTGAACTCTTAACATATCATTCAGTTAAGAGCCCATTGGAACGGCCGAAAGCACAACTTAAGAAAAAAGAAAAACTTAACAACATTACGAAAGCAGAAAGTAGAGTTTATGTACAAATTCTTTCCACCATTTGGCAAATTAGAAACAAAAAGATCTAATTGCAGACGGCAAGAAAGAAATTGAGGATTTAATTTGTGCCCGCAACGGAACTCAGACGCCATATTTTATCTGCGGCGCATGGTTCTCTCAAAGGCACATAAGAACCCTAACTTGGATTTGGGTGCAGTTTTATAGGGGTCAGAGAGATGTTGGCATCATATGTCTATTTTGCCCTTAGTTGTTCACACTTTTATTTTTCGTTTTACAATTTTTATTTCTTGATTCGCTTTTTTGTTGTTAAACCTTTTAAGTCTCCGTGCGGAGCTCGAGTAATTAAATATCATATTTATTTTATTATTGTAAAATGGGGTTGTGGTAATTGAAATTGAATTATTTCAATTAAAATTAAAGACATCTAATCGAAAATATCAAAAATCAAATAGACTCAAAACTTAAAAAAATTAAATATATATATATATATATATATATATATATATATATATATATATATATTAATTAGATCGAATCATGTTTTGGATCCATATTATAAAAAGTCCCGTAGATATTAGGATTTGGGATAGGTTATTCTACCTACTCTTAATTTGTCTACTTTTGCCTACCTCTTTCAATACCGTTCGATTACAATCTCATCTAACGGTCGATATCTGCGATATAAAATAAATCGTTTTTTTCTCTCTTTTTTCTCTCACATCCTTTCTCTCTCCTCCCCTTTCTCTCTTTCTCTGTCACCAACTATGAAGCACCGACACTTCAAAAACTCTGACGTGTCGTGTCCGACACTTCTCGACACTCTCCGACACTCCGACACTCTCCGACACTCCAACACGCATTGTAGAAATTCAAAATAGGTTCAAAGGTTGCGTTGCATTGAGTTTTTAGTTCTAACTATTAGATTACGATTACCATTTTATTGAGTTTAATATAAATAATTGGGAAATCTTATGTTTCTTTGCAAAAATTGATGAATATTATAAGTTTAGTTTCATTTTTTTGTTAAATTATTGAATATTAAATATAATATACATTACATAAATTAAAAATATTATTTAATATCAAAACGTGCCATAACGTGTCGAAATCTAACATTCTTTAGAATTAACGTGTCAGAGTGTCATGTCGTATCGTGTCACGTGTCCCGTGTCGGTATCGGTGTTACATAGGTCACCAATACCTATACCTATTTTAAATTATCTTCTATCTGAATTACTAGTTCAGTTCCTGAGACACTGGAATTCCATTAATCGGTTCAGTTCCTGAGACTGGAATTCCATTAGTTGTCGAAAGCTTGGAGATAGGTTGTAAATCGTCTGGCAATAACGACATTAGAATTCCATTAATCGGTTCAGTTTTTCTCATATGATAATTCAAAAGAAAATTGTTAACAATAAATCTTTTTTCTCAGCGTGTTCCTTCTTATCATTATTGTTAACAATGAATCTTTTTTCTTTTTCCTTTTGACGTTTAGTTTCTTCGGTTCCTCATGTGTAATTAGAAACATCTTCTTTATAGATAAATTATATCAAGTTCTGTAGTTATCATATTTTATTTTTTAGTCAATCATCGCTGGAGATTGGCACAAAGGACTTGACTTTTGTCCAACTAAACCAATTAATTGGAAGGAAAACAGGAGGAATATCAGTTTAATTCCATTAGCAATCGCATGATTGTTCGAGGCAAATAGGTACACGCTGACAAGAGAAAGGGGATAAGAGAGAAAATGTGTGGGAAGAAGTGAGGTGAAAGAAGGGGGAATTTTTTTTTATTTTATATCGCAGATATCGACCGTTAGATGAGATTGTAATCGAACGGTATTGAAAGAGGTAGGCAAAGGTAGGAAAATTAAGAGTAGGTAGAATAACCTATCCCTTAGGATTTATCCACTAAAGGTAAACCTCACTATAAATAAACTCCACAGGTACACACTTTTAAAACTCTTGCCTCCTTACTACCATTATACACACACATCACTCCTATTGGCTTCTAGCTTTTCTTGTGCAATGCGATCTGCCACCCTTTGCAGTTGTCTCTTCTATAGATATCGTTGATCCTCAAATCCCACATCAATCATAATCCACTTAGATCGAATATTGGTTTTGCCTATGAGAAACGATAAACTTCGATTCTCAACAAACCATGGTGAACATGTGCAACGTAGCGTAAAATCAGCAATCATCGCAGCGCCAACAACCGTTAATGTCAACACCAAACCCTAATGCACAAATGGTTAACAATTTGGGCATTAATCAAGGAGATTCCATCCCAATGAGCTAGCCTAATCCCCACATTGCTACCCACCAGCATGATATAGTCTAAGCTATAGTGCATTGCTAATGTAGCATTTGGATGACATTAACGTCGCCTTAGTGAATAGTATGGCATCACGACAATGTGTAGAGCCGTGTTGAAGGAGAACGAGTTAAAATGCATGAGCCCATTGCTAATGTCACCCAGAAGCAGGTCATCCAGCAAGAGCAACTCATCCAAGACGAGGAAGATGACAGCCCATTCACGGATCACGTTATGGTTGTGTCATTTCCCAAAGGATGGCAACAACCTTATTTGGCTCCATAAGTTGGAACCAAGGATTCATATGAGCACTTGGACGCTTTCAAGAAAATCATGTACCTGGCTGGAGCCAAAGACTCATTCACTACCAAAGTCTTTCCTTCCCTACTCATTGGACTAACCTTACACTTGTTTAATGCCCTACCCCAACATCCCATCAATTCATTCAAGGACTTCTCTTAAAAGTTCTTGCTCAGTTTTGCCAATAGCAGGTTGCACTCGAAGTCATCCCAGACCCTATCTTGAGTTCGGCAGAAATCAAGAGAACTGTTTGTCTATAACGAACAGATGGGGTTCAGATGACTTCCATATGATTAAAAGTCTGTTTAGTACCTCTCTTTTTTAAGCTAAAACTGAAAAAAGAGTTTTAAAAATAAAGCTACAAGCCGTTTGATGATTATATAAAAAATTTAGCTTAAAAGCTTTTTATATAAAAAATTTAGCTTAAAAGCTATTCATTTCAAAAAAAGCACACATTTAAAAAAAAGTTGAAACAATTTAAAAAATGCTCCTCCTAGGAGCTTTTGGCTTTTGATTTTTTTCTTCATTATAAAAAAAAAATTTATAAGAGCTTTTGTAAAAACTTGGTTGGCCTAACTTCTACTTATAAATATAAGGAGAAGAGAAGCTAAAAAAAAGACCTCCCAAATAGACACTAAGTAATTTGCGCAAAAAAAAAAGGGATTATAAAAGGAGTTTATGGACCAGCCTTAGAGTTTATGGAAGAAGACTCTTAGTTCTGAAAAAGTTTTCTTCCGGCTACTAAAGAGTTGATACAATATTCTTACTCTTGAATGAAAGGTGGATAACAAGATGAAGGGATGGATTGGCATGACAATTTAAAGGGAAAGATAGATCTTGTGCAATTTGCAACCCTTATAATAATCACACCTTAACGCAAGTGTGTGTTATCAACAAGGAATATAGGATGTATGAATCCATATATGGTTCCCATAGAGAAAACAATAAAATCTAGATCAATGTGAAGCAATAAGAGTAGCAATAATAGGAATTAAGAACTAAACTAAGGCTAACTACTAACAAACTATTAACTAATAACTAAGTTAAGCTAAGATTACTAACTAAGAATAAAAGCGCACTAAAATATATGAGATTCAAGTATTAAAGGAAGATTTGGATCAATTTCCCAAATATTGTAACTTTACCTGAATGTTGGAACAATATGATATTAATCCTTTATCAATAACCAAAAACATAATTTCATGTAGGGGCTCCCTCTAACCTTACATGTATAACCCAACAATTGATCCCCATATCACTATGCAAAATTAATTAGTGAATTCAATTAAGAAAAGTTCCATACAGCTATATGGTGTTGACCATCCATATACCACAAATTAACTAGGTTTATTCAACCTAATTAATCTGCATTGTCTAATAAGGTTTTGGATTCACCTGTATCCCTACAGCCAAATCCTAAAACACTCATTATTCCTTCTTAGTAAGTCAACAGGATTGAGAATAAAATACTTCATTAAACAACTAAAGGAAAACAACAATAATAGAGTTTAGGCAACCACGACTCTATTGCAATATAGGTACTCTATCACCCAATCATAGGTGATTTAGCTCATACTTGACAAGAAATAAACACAAAAGAAAGAAGAAAGATCCTTAGAAACACAAATAAAGAAAGACATAGGCGATGTTGTTGTTCTTGCAACAACTCCACACGCTACCATTATCCTCTGGATCTAAACTCCATGAACAGTCAATAGGGTCAACAAGGCCCAATGATCCCTTTATTGGACCCTAGTCTCTCCTTTTAACCCCATGGATTCCTCGTAACTAAGTCATGAGTGATTCCCTAATGGTTCCAATCCATTTTTGAACGTATATGGACTTTTATATTTATAAGAAAAGCTAACTTGGGTGCTAAGTAACCTTTTTGTATTTGAAATCCCTCAAAAATTGCATCCTAATATGATCTTGATTTATCTTTAAGTTCAAATTTTTTATCTTGATTGCTGGAAATAAGGATGAGTTAGGATAGACATTTATCTTTTGTTATCTTTAGTCTTTTTATTGGTTTTCAAAGTTCAAGGTTTTTGATGCATGCATTAATCTTGTTATTCCTTCTTCTTCCCCTTTTTTCTTTTCTTATGATTTTGTCGCCACCATGATGAGATCATGGTTGGCAATTGACCCCTTTTGGATGGGGAAGGCGGCTGCACACCCTAGAGTAGGTTGGTGGCCGCCACCTTGTTTGAAAAAGGAACAAGTACCGTTCAACCCAAGAAAGGGCAAGACCGCTACGAGTTATTGATTGTGAAAGGACATGGCAGCTAACCCTATTTAGGGTTTGGTCGCCACCTTGCTAGGAGCAAGGGCTGCCATGTGTGGCTAACCCTAATTAGGGTTGTGGATCGCCACCCATCAAGGGCTCTAGGGTTTCATGGTGGGCCCAATATCTAATGAGATTAGGGTTTTTGATTGTGGCCTAGGGTTAAACCTAGATTGGGCTGCCAACCTAAAGAACCAAGGAACATTAAGGAATGGTTTGAGATTGTGAATCAAGTGTTGATTCAGTGCATGTGACCCAATATAAGGTTTGCTTTAGGTGTTTGGGGTCGAATTTGTCTTAGTTGAAGGGTGGAAAGGTCGATGACTAACTGATTCCTTGGAGCGTGCCTCTAACGTAAGTAGAGATTCATAAATTTTTTGCTCTCAAGCTACAAGTAGCGAAAAATGGTTATGGCTGTCGTTGAGCCTATTCTGCAAGGAAGCAACTTCATCATCAACCCGTTATTGTAACGAGGCAAGTTCATTAGCAGAATCATTGACTCTCATTCTGGAGATGTTGTTCAAAGGTTAAAACACTAATGGTACGATGGGGAAGGTAAGCTCTCAAGAGAGCTGAAATCACGGACGAACAAAGGCAGTTGAAAAAGAAAACTTCACTGAATTACAAATGAAAACTTCATATACAATGGCCTCCACAATTAACCATTACAACTAACTTACTAACCAGATATCTATTACACCTCCCTTAACCATCTAACCGTAACATGTCCATGATAGGCCACATTACGTTGACAGTTTTATTAGCAAAGCCAGTCCTGCATAGCTTATTTCCACGGGCGACACAAAATGTCATAAAAATGAAAAGATCTCCAAATTTATGGTCATATGTACAATAAAGTACAATTTGGTAGAAGTTTATAGTCACACAGCATCACAACAAAAAGAAAAATAAAATAAAATAACACAAACTAGCGGACCGTTGGAAACTTACATGAGATAACATGCCTCAGAAAAATAAATAAATAAATTTAAATCAAAGGGCAAATCATTGACAGCTGGTTTTTACATGCTTTCATCGTATTTTATAGTAAAGGTTGTTGTTGCAGCACTTGAAGCAGCTAATGACACAATTGTCCCCTGGCTGTCTGAGTCAGAGGATGCATTGTATGAAGATGAAGTCTTCATATCAAGATTACTTTTGTGTTCTCTGATTTTAAGGTCCATAATATCTGAAATCAAGCCTGGTCTTGTTATCTTAATTTCATCAACTTCCATTTCTCCAGTGAGCATCTTGACCACAGAAGACATGGACGGCCTTAGCTTTGGAGTCTCCTGGGTGCAAAGAAGGCCAATTTTCAGAAATTTACAAGCCTCCTCTGCATCAAATTCCCCGTTTAGTGATACGTCTACCAACCCTATCAGTTCCTTTCGTTCATAAAGTTCCCATGTCTGTAAGGACATAAAGCCTAAATAAGAGCGGGTACAAATATCTCATAATACTTTTACTCTACAGCATCAACATCACATTTATCCCAAATTAGTTGGATCAATGGGGGATGAACCCAAATGAAAAGTATGCAAATAAAAATTGGGGAAAAAAAAGGTTAAAAATAAAATTAAAAGAAATAAAATAATCATAATGCTTTTACTAAAAAAAAAAATCTCATAATGCTGTAGAATATGATTACTGTTATGCAATGCAATGCATGCCAAAGCGTGTCATGCTGAGAAAAAATGTGAGGATTACAATTCCATATTATAATTACAAGTCATAGCGAGGACTTTCTTCCTGAGAGAGGAGAAACAAATACCGTCCATTAGTATTTCTATAAGAATTGTTTATATGTTTGCCAAATATAATTAAGACTGGAAGTAGGCCTCGACAACTGATATTTTATAAAGCTTCAATGACTTCCATTTCAAATTTTAGAGCATAACCTTACAATCATTCCGATTTGTCCTTTATGCTTAAGGGGACAGAAGAAATTATGAATGGTCCCACTTGTCATCTGCTTTTGCATACAATATTTGTGCTCAACTAGCAGTTCAAATCAAAAAGGTAGTTTAACTTCCACTTAGACAAGGTGACACTCTACCGCTGAGTTATATCCCTTCCCTTGCCCTCATCAAGAAATAGAACTGACTAATCCTAAGGTACCCTATAATCGGTGATTATATTGACTAAAAAAACGAAGTGCTGGGCTCCTCCCCTGCTTGGGAGCTTACAGTTTCATGTTCTATTTCACTCCCCAATGACTCTCGGTAAATAAAAAGCCTACATAGCAGTTCCAATGCTACACCTAGTGACTTCAGGTAAGTCATTAAAAATAAAAATTGGGAATTTTAGTTTGTTCAGAATAGATGAAGATTGAAGAAACAACGTGGTTGTTAGAACTGATGGGCAAACAATACTAAGAGTCATATTTTGGTATCTCAGTTCAATGATTCAAAATGAAAGTAAAATTACTCGTGTTATCTTTCAAGAAACAATTGAGAAATACGTACGAAATTTTATGTTGGACCCCAGTTGAAGAAAAAAGTTGAAATAGGTTTAGCAAGTACTTTGCTATACTACGAAAATTGAATGGGCTTAATATCTAAAAAAATTTATAAAAATTTGAATGGGCTTAATATCTAAAAAATATTATAAAAATTTGAATGGGCTTAATATCTAAAAAATATTATAAAAATTTGAAAATTTAATGCTATGACTGCTAATACAAGAAAGATAAAAACAAAAAAAAAAGAAAATTAAGGTATGGACTAACTTCCACTAAAAATGAGTCTTAGAGAGAATCATTAAAGTGTTTTCGACATCAACAATAAACAGACAACACAGGGCAAAACTTAAAGTAGAAAGAATAATGAGTATAATAAAAAAGACAGAATTGATTAGTGGAGTTTAATAACAAAAGATATTAGTGGAAGTGACGCCAATCTTAGCAGTGAAAGTAACTTCACATTTAATGTACTACGCCTAAAGATTTTTGCTTATTAATAAGATGAGCACAAGAAATTATTTTATTCTTCCCCTCTAACTATGTGTTTTTAAACAGTGCAAGATACGTCAATTCAACTGGCAACATAGGACAGACATACCTTCTCTAGAATATATTGATCTCCTAGTGGTAATCGTGTATTTGTGTTACCTCTCCCACAGACTATCTCCACAAGTAGGACACCAAAACTGTAAATATCTGCTTTACGTGTCAGTTGCCCCCTTATTGCATACTCTGGTGCCAAATAACCTCTGAGATAAAATACGCAGCATTAAATTCCTGATATAAATAATTGGTAAGATAAGGGAGATAATATACAAACGTAAACAGAAAAAGAGAGGCTTTCCTCTTTCACAGGTAAGGAGTGGAAAGGTAAAGAATGAATGGACATAATCCACAATAACATTTTCATGCTTCCATTAGGTGCAGTTTCACAGCATTGTCAATGATCTCATGGTTATAGTTGACACATGAATTTAACACCAGCCAGACTACGTGTGTGTTGCAACTTTTGGACTACAAATCCATTGCTCTGTACTTGCTCCACCAAAGGAATCTCTTATGTCAACATTAAAGCACTGTAATAACAATGATGCAAAATAATATGCATATAAACTTCAAAGTCTGACATGGTTAAGGAAATTAAGGGCCCTCAACTGTTCAGAGTTTACACTAGGAGACTTAAGCTGGAAGTCATTTAGCCAATTTGACCAAGTCAAATTGAGAAATAAAGTCAGCCAGTAGATCAGTTTGTAACAAATAAGGCTGGATAGTTGTTAGCTACTTTTCAAATAAAATCAGCCAGAAGATTAGTTTGTTACAAATAAAGCTGGGTAGTTGTTAGCTATTTTTCCTGCTTCTGTTAATCATTTTTCTATGCATGTTTTAGTCAATTGTTTGTTCTCTGATATCTGGCTGTTTAGTAGGTGGGTTACTGGGCAGGCAGACAATTTAGTAGGTGGGTTCATACTGGGTAGGCAAGCAATTGTTAACTAAAAAGATCTTGGGCTGGGAGAAATCTAAGTGAAAGGAGAGTGCTCCTTTGGGAAGTGGATTCCTCTTGTAACTTGCCTTTATCAATAAAAGTGAGTCATATCTGTTTCTTTTCTCCTGTGCAACTCTCTGAATTCTGTGAAGACACTTGTCAAATTTCTAGGGCTGTATCAAATTGGTCCAACCTACCGGATCCATCAAAATGGTGTCTATTGAAGCTCTGGAAGTCTCCATTGAATTATTACGAAAAGAGACCACCGAAAAGAGTAAGTGGTTGGAGTCTCAGGAAAAATAATTGGAAGGAATAGAATAAATTCGAATTTTACTAAAAGCGTGGATGAGTAAGAAGGTTGGGGAAGAACATTCATAATTACCTGAGAATTTGAATGAAGGAGGTGATTCCAGCATAGGAAATTCAAACGAACGATCATGAACCAAGTTGGCTCCTCAAACTATGAATATTTTGTTCAAAAGCATTGATGTGGGCTTCTATTGTTCATGTGGACCATTCAAGGCTCCCTTATCGGAAGCCCTGATACTAGTTGATGAAACTGGATCAGATAAAGAGGTATAAAAACTAAAACTAACAAGTTTATTAAATGAGATGAAAGCTTAACAGCCTTGACAGCATATACACAAAAGAAATTTAAGCAATCCGAAGTGTTCGAGAGACCCCACTCTCCTAAACCAAAGTCCTAAAGATATCCAGGTTAAGGCTTTTGATCTAGGTCCTACCTATTTATAAAAAAACAAATTGTCCACATGTAAAAAACCATCTTAACCCAAAAGCTGACATTGGGTTTATGGGGACTTTCACTTATATGTACTATGCTTAGCTCATTCCTTCCCGATGCGGGATTTTTTATCACACACTTGAATTCCCAACAATCTCCCCTTCAAGTGTGAGTCCTACAAATTTCCTAATTTAGTTGAGATAACAAAACTTCCTAATTAAACTGCAGATCTAATATGTTTGTTGCCTAATCCGGTTTTTACTGATAGATATTGTCATATTTATTGCTGATTTGGACTGGACGCTAATTTGTGTGACTTATCTGCTTCTGTTTGTTGGATAAGATGCTGATTTGTGTGATTTATCTTATCTACTTCTATTTGATGGATAAGATTTTATCCTTGATCTGGTTCACTTAGTTGTTCAGGATTTGATCCCAAATTTGCCCTTCTGCAGTAAACCTGCTGATATCGTTTTGTTGGCTAATCATTGCATCTGTCCTAAGTTGGCAGCCAAATATTACGGCCCTTTTGAAGTCCTCAAACAATTTGGTGCAGCAGTTTTTTGCCTTCAGCTTCCACCTCAAGCCCGTACTCATCCCATTTTTCATGTCTCACAATACAAGAAGGCAGTGGGCAACAGACCTGTAGAACATTCCTTATCTGGCGGAATTCCAAGATCAAGCCCCCTTATTTGTCCCTGCCAAAGTGCTGGCTTCTTGTACTGTTCTTTCGTCAGGGACAACCAAACAAACAGGTTCTCATCCATTGGTAGAATCACACACTTGAAGAAGCCTCATGGGAAGATGTGCTTGCTATTCAACAGTAGTTTCCCAGCTTCAAACTTGGGGACAAGGTTGTTTACCCCCTGGAGGTATTGATATGGTCAAGGATATTAAGTGTTTCCAAATGTTCAGAGTTTACATAGGAGACTGCAGCAGTAAGTCAGTTAGCCAATATGACCAAGTCAAGTTGAGAAATAAAGTCAGCCAGTAGATCAGCTTGTTACAAATAAAGCTGGGTAGTTAGCTATTTCTCAAATAAAGTCAGCCAGTAGATTAGTTGGTTACAAATAAGGCTGGGTAGTCGATAGCTATTTTTCCTGCATCTGTTAGTCATTTTTCTGAGCATGTTTAGACAATTTTTTGTTCTGTGTAATCTGGCTATTTAGTAGGTGGGTTCATACTGGGTAGGCAGGCAATTGTAAAATGAAGAGATCTAGGAATGCGGGAAGCCTCTGCGAAAGGAGAGTGCTCCTTTGGGAAGTGGATTCTTCTTGTAACTTGCCTTTATCTATAAAAGTTAGACATATCTGTTTCATTTCCCATGTGCAATTCTGAGAATTCTGTGAAGACACATCAGATTTCTAGGGCTGTATCAAAGTCATGGATTGACACCAAAATGAATCGATATAAATTATAAATACAGAATAAAATCAATATAGTCAACTAGTTTTAATCTTTCACTATTGTACCATATGACTCTGACCGCTCAACATATTACAGTAGTTTTTAAGTTCGTGTATAAGTTGGAGACGTTGGATCTAAAACTAGGATAATGAAGTGGAAGGATCAATTCTTACTTTTGGGAAGGCTACCCTACTCTTTCAACAGGAAAAACAAAACAAAAGCTTCCAATTTCTGTCAGACCATGAATTAAAATACTTACATTGTTCCTGCTACACGCGTGCTGACGTGAGTCATGTATGATGGAATAAGCTTTGCAAGACCAAAATCTGAAATCTTTGGTGTAAGGTCTTTGTCAAGAAGAATATTGCTTGCTTTTATATCCCTGTGAATAATATGTGGACTTACTTCCTCATGAAGAAAAGCAAGCCCACGTGCAACCCCAATGCACACCCTAGATCGTGTTCGCCAATTGAAGTGGATATTACTGTGACCTCCACCTGCAAGCAAAGAGAAAATAATTTATTCAAAAAGAATTAGGATAAAGTTGAGAGTCAAAGACTACTTAATATTACAAGTCCATGATGTTCTAAACAACGCAATAAAAGTCCTTGTTCCTAAATTTTCCCAGAAAACTTTACCAAAAATATATAATGCATTTACCTAGAAGAGTTTGTGCAAGGCTATTGTTTTCAAGGTAATTGTAGACTAATATTCGGTGATTTCCTTCTACACAACAACCGTATAGCTTAACCAAATTTTCATGCTCTATTTCTGATATCATATTAATCTCTGTCATGAATTCATTCACCCCTTGACTTGATTCAGCTGAAAGAACTTTTATAGCAGCAAATTTTCCATTTTTTAACAATCCCTGATCATCAACCATAATATTGTTTAGGTTTAATTAATAATGAAAGAAAGGAAAAAATAATGAACAAGCCAATCGATTTGATGAAGCACACAATAATTGAAAGTTGAATAGTTACCTTATAGACAGAACCAAAACCACCTTCCCCGATTTTATTAGCTGGACTGAAATTGTCCGAGGCAATACTTAGTTCTTTGTAGGTATAGACTCTTACATTTTGCATGCCTGAAAGTTCTGTTCACAAGTATAGTCAATTAAAACCTAGCATATAAATAGATTTTTTGTTCATGTATTATATATCACAGGTATCTTAATTACACAATGACACAATATTCTTAAAAATTAATCAAATATAATTAAGTTACCTTCATCAATGTCTGGATCTCTTCTTGTTGTAGAAGACACTTTCTTACCGAATACAAAATGAAAACAAGTCATGACTTAATGCAGTTTTGGAACACGGCTTGTGATGTCAAATGGAATCAATGCCTTCAAATGAAACCACTTACAAGGTCACTTGGCTGAACCATATAAAAGTAATGTCTTAAAGAATAATAAAGTGGAAAACTGATATGAAGAACATGTTAACGACAACGCACAAAAATCAAGTCTTACAAGAGCTGACAGACTATATTCACGGGATTCTATATACAAAAAGTAATGATTCATATCATAGCTCCAACTTTTTCTCTACTATTCCAATGATATCAAAAAAGAAATTCCAGTAAAAAAAAAAGATGTAATGCTAAAGAAACGAATGCCTAGTCATAACTAAAATGCAATGAAGCACAGATATCAGCATCATGTTGCTGTTTAAGTTAAGAATAACAGATTAGAGTAATACTTTGTGCAAAAGGAAAATACGTTTGAAAATTTTATGAAATGCTGTGTGACCAAGACATGAGTATGTTTGATTGTTCCCAAAGCCATAAGAAGAAAAGCCTATCTGGGCACATCTTTATCTTTTAAAAAAAAAAAACTTCAAAAATAAAACTAAAAGATATTTGATGATTATTTTTGAAGGAGAGAAAATGAAATAATTTGTTATTAGAATGAATTATTAGTGTAAAGAGTAAAATTGATAAATACAAATTTAAAATAAGGATGAAACTAGAAAATAAATATGAGAACTCTATATATCTTAAGAAAAACCTCTTGAAAGGAGCTTTTAGATTTTTTTTAAATTCATTATAACAAAAAACTCTTTATAATAAGATGCTTTGTAAAAATATATTTGATTAAACTTTTGCTCAGAGAAGCACAAAAATACAAAATAATGGAATTTTGATCAAACGCGCATAAGCTTTCTCTCAATTTAAACCTTGCAATGTCTTTTTCCCACGCAATTGCAATACCTCTCCAATCTTTCATCAAGAACTAGTTATCTGTATCTCAACATCCTAATTCAAAATTTCCACAAGTATTGTTGCTTAAAAGAGGGTAATTTCGAATGAAAACCATTCTTTTCTGCCATATTCTATTTTGTTTATATACTTCACTCGCCCTAAACTCCGCGGTGTTGTATCTCAGCCAACGTTTAGGCTTAACATCTTCAAAGTGGTTCAGTTTGTGCTGTTTTTCACATCTCCAAAGAATATTGAGAAGAAAAATATGAACAAAATTTAGAGCACAAGTACAAAATAAATAAATAAATCACAAAAAAATTACTCATAGCAACAGAAAAACACCAATCAGAAATCAACAACTGTCTCAGAAACCAAAAGCATTACCGTTTTCCCCAAAAAAAAAACAAAAAAAAAAAAACGGAATGAAAACAGATTAAAGAAGTGCAATATATGGCTGAAACAAACCTTAGAATAAATTTCACAAGAGGAACCGCTTTGTCAGAGATGAGAAGTAAGGAAGAGGAAATGGAGAAAGTTGAGAATGGATAGAGATGATAGTGATGGGTTTGAAGAATGGTCCTGTAAGGCGTGTGAACGTACCGTCAATCTCTTCTCTCTCTCTCCCTCTCTCTACTCTGAATTCAAAATTGCAAATGGTTTATTATATAAATAACAAGTTGTAATTTTTAAAAAATTTAAAAATTATGCCTCGTGCTGGATTCAAGTATAATAATGACTTCATTTCATAATCTCTTCTAAGTTCTAACAGCAATTTCTCTAACAAATTATAATATAATAACACTATTTCCAAAAGAAAATTTATTTTTACGAATACTTAATATGTGGCATAGCTATTTATCGAATAAATAAAAGAGAAACTTATACTTACAGTTTTTTTTATAATTATATCTTAACACCGTTGATTTTCGTCAATCAACGATTATTGTAACGCCCGGCCGCTTCAAGAATCAATGACTATCTCCACATACTAACACGAGATTTTTCAGTGTGTCTTTTCCTCACTTGCACACTGCTCGGGAAAACTTCTCAGGATGTCACCCATCCCAGAATCGCTCCAAATCAAGCACGCTTAACTGTAGAGTTCTTCCGTTCCGGGCTACCGAAAAGTAGATGCATCTTGTTAGTATAGGTAGTACCAATTAATTATTATCAGTTATCCCAAACTGTGCAGCCTTATACCTGCACAGTCTTTGGAATCCCTCTCTTTCGGGTGTCGATTCAATTCATTCATGCATGTAACCCCCAGCTGGAAGCCTGTCAGGAGCCGCTCTTTGTCCATGCCTCTTTGCACCGGCGATCACTCCCTGCCCTCGTCAGCACTCGGGATGTTACAATTATCACTTATTGTGAATTAATAATTAATTAATGAGTTTAATTTGCAAAAATCATAACTGTTGATTGACAGAAATCAACAGTGTTAAGATATGGTTGTAAGAGGTTGTAAAAAAAAATTGTCAGTATAACCTTCATCTAAATAATATATATATATATATGAGAAAAATATTTCTCAAGTTACTTGAGATATATTTATCTCAGGTCAGTCCAAAATTACGTCGTTTTATTTATTTATTTTCTTATATTTATTGATTTACCTTTAGATGGTTATAACTTTATTTTTCTCTCTCTTCCTTTTTCACTTTAGATCTATATTTGTATGGTTATGATTTAGTGGTCGAAGATAAAGCTATCTCAAGCAGAGAGTCATTAGATCAAGCAACTTTGAAGATCAAGTCATTAGATCAAGCAACTTTGAAGATCAAGTCATTAGATAAAGCTATCTCAAGCAGAGAGTCATTAAAGCTATCTTAAGCCATATATATATATATATATATATATATATATATATAAAGCAGGATCCTTTGACACCAGTGTCAAATTTAAAATTTGACACCTTATCTGAGAGCATTAGATCAAAAAAGATCAATGGTGTCACATGCTTACAAATCATAGTCATTGATCTTTTTTGATCTAACGGCTCTCAGATGAGGTGTCAAAATTCAAATTTGACACTGGTGTCAAATGATCATACCTCTCTCTCTCTCTATATATATATATATAGAAATATTTCTCAAGCTGCTTGAGATATATTTATCTCTGGTCGCCCCAAAATTACGTCGTTTTGTTTATTTATTTTCTTATATTAATTGATTCTCCTTTGAATATGGCCATGATTCCCTTTTTCTCTCTCTTTCTTTATTACAATTGATCCATCTTTGTACGGTTATGATTTAGTAGCCGGAGATAAAGTTATCTCAAGCAGCTTGAGAAACAATAAGCTCATATATATATATATATATATGAAAAAATATTTCTACAGCCACTTTAGATAAGGTTATCTACAGCTACCTATAAATTACGTCGTTTTGATTAATGAAGGGTGTTTCAGTAAAATGTATATGATAAAAGAATAAACATTCTTCATTAATTCACCTAAAATTTTTAAACAAAATTATGAAAACATTCTTCATTAATTCACCTAAAATTATAAAAACTCCCTTCATTGATCAAAACAACTTAGTTTTTTGAGTAGCTATAGATAACCTTATTTAAAGTGGCTGTAGAAATGTTTACCTCATATATATATACTAGTGAATTACCCATGCCGATGCACGGGAAAAAAAATTGGTTTGTTTGGCATGGTGGGTCGGCCCTCCGGGCCGAACTCATTTTGTCAGTATTTCAAAGGTCCCAAACAGTCATTTTTTTAAATAACAAAACAATCATTTATTGTTACATTAAAAATAGGAAAGAAAATAGGATAATAAAGGTCATATCTTTGAAGATAGATAAGGAAAAGAGACGCGAATAAACAGTCATTTTTTTTGTCTTTACCTGTACCATACAACGAAGTTATATCTTTGAAGAAAGAACCCAATATACTATAGCAGTCTTTGAAATACTTCCTTGTAAACTATATTAAGGGTACTATTCGTAACGCAGCCATTTTCATCAAGTATCAATATCTTCAATCCATGCTTACTCTTTACTCTAGACAGTGCCACATATAATTGCCCATGAGTGAAGACAGGCTTAGGGAGATAAATTGCAACATGTGAAAGTGATTGTCCTTGACTCTTATTGATAGTCATGGAAAATGATACAATCAGGGGGAATTGTCTTCTTTGGAAATTTACAGGAAATGTATGACTCGATGGGCTCATCGTCATTCTAGGGATTAACACAGTTTCCCCTATATTGCTTCCTGTAAGTACAATTGCCTCAACAACATGATTCCCTAATTTTGTAATAAGCAATCTTGTGCCATTGCATAAACCTCTCGACTGATCAATATTTCTTAATAGCATTACTGGAACTTTAACTTTCAAGATTAATTTATTATCAGGAATCCCTGAGCATGATAATGTATTTAAGATCTCAGGGGTGATTTCATCATCCTCAACAGAGGAAGTCCCACCTTGCTTAAGAATTTTATCCGAACTCAAAAAAGTCCTTTCTTCACCAGGAATCATAGACATTAGGTGCTCGTTTAGCATAGCAACATCGGACAATTTAGGAGTTAGAATATCACGTTCTTTAAAGAAGGTCTGATCCAAAATATTATCCAAGAGATTCGGATAAACAAAATTAACCATATCTGACAGCGGATCTTCTGATTCTCTAATCAACAATTCATCTGGAATTGTTATAATAGATTCTCCATCAACATCATCTCCAAGATTACCATCCCCAACTTTAAGTAGCCACTCAGAAAATTCTTTTATTTCCTCTAAATTGTGAGCGCTACTTCCAGAATTAAGACGCATGTTCTTGGTCAAAGTTAATAAATGACAATGGGACCATAGATGAGAAGAATTGATGGTTGCATGAACTATATCTTGTCTGCTGCCATGAGAAATGACAGGTAATATTTGCCGAAAGTCACCTCCTAGAACAACAACTTTTCCACCAAATGGCATATCAACACAGCTTGTATCAGAAATTCTAAGAACATCTCTCAGTGTCCTATCCAGAGCCTCAAAGCAAAATCTATGTACTATTGGAGCTTCACCCCAAATGATTAACTTTGTTTTTGACAGCAACTCAGCTATAGTAGATTTCGGCCTTATATTACACGTTGAATCTTCATTGATTTGAATAGGAATACGAAATCTAGAATGCGCTGTTCGTCCTCCAGGAAGCAGAAGGGAAGCAATTCCGCTAGAAGCAACATTAAGTACGATTCCAGCTTTTGATCTAATAGATGCTGAAAGAGTTTTCCAAATAAATGTTTTTCTTGTACCACCGAACCCGTATAGGAAAAATAACCCTCCATTACCTGTCGTAACTGCTGAAACAATTTTATCATAAACAACTTTCTGCTCATCAGTGAGGGAATTAATTAGTCTTTTATGCTCCTCTTCCAAAGCAAATATGTCATACATTAATTCATCCAACACTAATCGATTTTGCATATCAAGCAAAGTTTCACTATTGATGCGTGGCATTGACGGATAATCAGAGAGGCATTTCCCATTGCTCTGCAGTACCTTATCAATTTCTTCAAGAGTTATGTTTTTTATAGACTCTTCTGTAAGAATTGCATCTGACAAAGCATAAAATTCAAAGGAAAAAAAATTAAAAAATTAAAAAAGATAAAGTAATCAAAGAAAGAAAGAGAGCGAAATAAGTACTAAAGCATCATTTGCTGAATGCGGGCAAAAAAAACAAAATAAGCACTAAAGCAACATTTGCTGAATACGGGCAATAAAAGCTAATAAGTACTAAGGCAGCATATGCTGATTTCGGTTAAACAAAAAAAAAAAATTGTATGAAATATTATTATAACACGTACCTTGACGTCCTATTCTTTTCCTATGCCGATAAACAACGTCGTCGGATAAAAATTTCCAACACTCTTCCCAAACTTTTTCAGGTCTGTTCATTGAGTTGGCAAATAACAACAGAGCAAACAGACATCTAAGATAAGCAGCAGATCCCCAGGAACTTGCCTCCTTAATTGCATCAATGTACTCATTGTCATCATCCAGAAGTCCTAAAGAATAGCACGCATCCTTAAATGTAGGAAAAACCACGCCATTGATCGTTCTAAGATCTTCATAACTGGTGCAACCTCTTTGAAAATTAAGCAAGGTACGAAGATATGAATCTTCTCCATTATTGGCAGAAAAACGATTTATCCTTCCAATGGAAAATCCTTTTTTTCTCGGATTCCATTCATGCGTTTTTTCTTTGAAAACAAATTCAGTCGGGTACTCTCCATAAGTTAGATGCCTACCTTCTGGATATTTTTTATTTGCATCCATCCAAGACTCAAAAATTGACAGTCTAGACTCCGCCCTTGTCTTTACATCATACAACGAATCATTATCACTGAAAATAATGTTCTTTTCATTAGGCAAGTGAAATGTCAATCTCTGAACAGGGGGATATCTCGAATGAATGTCAAATCCAAATATTCTCCAAGCTGCTTCACATGCGGAGACATACCTATCATAAATAAATAAATCGGTGAATATTTAAGTTAATAATTTCTCAAAAAAATTGTGCCAATTTTGTAGGAAAGCAAAACACAATGGAAAGCAAAACACAAAGCCAATTTCTCCGATTCTGCTAGTAGGTATAAATGCGTGCCGAAAATGTATCCCAGAAAATTAATGTAAGTGCATGATAATTACTAGAATAATATGTAGGACTTGTAAAACGAGTTTCAAGTCTAGATAATGAGAACTGGTGCTGGAAACCGGTACTGGCTTGGAAAAGCGCGTACCGGAAAAGTGCTCAGAAAATTATAAGAAAAATATGATAAATCTTAGAAAATTATGTAGTTTCACAATCCAAAGTTTGGGATTAAAATGCTAAGCGTAGCAATTAAAGTTAATACTGTGTGTTTTATGGCTAAGTGGCTATATATATGCATTTTAGCACATAACCCTAGGCAGACCAGAATTCCTACGTGAGGCACTTGGTGGGCTGAGGGTGGTTTACTGTTCCATTGCCTCCTTTCACCATTTTTGAACTCAAGTTGTCACCTTTACTTGATTTCTTCCCTCTTTGAGCTTGTATACACTTAAGAACATGCATGGTGAGGAAGTGTGAGGGTGTATTCTGAGTTTCCATCCTCTGTGTGTGGGTGAGAGTGCTGTTTTGGGTGGTGTGGTTGCTGAAAGCCATAGTTATGGCATTTTGGAGGTCCAAGTGGTGACCTTTGGTGAGAAGAACCAACCCTTGTGAAGCCATTTTCGTGCATCTTTCTTGAGTCAGACTTGAGGGGCTGTGTTGAGCTCCAAGAGCATCTTCTTCTCTGTTTTAAGCCTTTGGTATGTATACCAACCTTTGATCTTGAGTTTAATGCTTAAAAATGAAAGCTTGATGCATGTTAAGGTCAAAAGATGATAACTTGTTGTGGGGTAATGTTGAACACACCTAGAAATGCATGTTTAGGTGTTTAAAATCGGTAAAAACCCAACCTTGGAAGGATATCTTCACAAAAATGCAGAAACTGCATTCTGTCGTGAAATATCCGGATATCGGCCCGTGGAATATCCGGATATGGGATATCCGGATATGATATCTGGATATGTGTATTCGGATATGGGGTTTTGGGATATCTGGATACTAGATATCCGGATATGGGATTCTGGATATCCGGATATTGCATATCCTGATATGTCCAGTGAGATATCCGGATAATGCATATCCGGATATGGTCCCGAGGAATATCCGGATATTCTGGGATTTCGTAGAACAGTAGCTGTGCTGTGTGTACAGTAGGCTATTGGGGGTTTGTGGACCCTAGATTGATGAAGTTGAACTTCTGTATTTAATGGACTAAGCCAGAATCATGGGATTAAGGGCTTGTGGCTTTGTTAGAAGCTTTAAGACTTGAAAACGTAATGAAAAGGCGTTGTCTTAATATTGTATACTTGTGGTGCATGTTGTTGATGTATTGTTGGTCCATAACAGATTGTGAATCTGCTGTGTTTGGACTTTGAGCTGTGGACTCTTGGCTTTTGGAGTTAGCTTGCAAGGTAAGCTTTCGTGTCCTCGGTTTAGCCATGTTGTGGTTCCACCATATCCCATGGGGGTATGGTTTATGCATGTTGTGTACATGCTTTTGGATATTTGATATGTTGGTTGAACTTTACATGTAAGGGCTTTTAATATGCATGTGTTGTTTCATCTTGACGGGAAGCCTGAGTATGTAGCGCCATACAAGATGGTGTACCGGGGTGAATGCAAGTGGTACTTGCACGGTGTGTAGGTGATAGACGTATACCTGCACTGTCTCTGGCCAGTAGATTAGTATTGACACACATGACATGATTATCTGCTGCATTGCATTGTTTTTTAAATGATAAATGATAAACTGCTTTTGAACTTATATTGCACATGTAAGTGAGCTTGGGGTGGAAGATCCTTGAGGACTCACTGACTTACTGAGATTTCTAGATTAGAGATCTTACCCGACGTTTGGGGAATGCTTATTTCAGGATCAGGTAGTATGGGTACTGATGCCTCAGGCGGCGGGAGGCCGAAGCTTAGCTGATTTTGTTGTTTCTGCTTATATGTTAGCATGACTGGATTTGGATGCTGTTTATGTTTTCCGCTATTTATGATATGTTGTTGTTGAGACTGATGTCGGGCATATGGCCTTATGTGAGTGAGCATGGGGATTGTCCATGACACTTTCTGTTAGTACTTGTAGTTTGGAGTTGTATAAACTGTTAGATGGTCCGGTCTACGTTGTTGTAGTTCCGTGACTAGAGCCACACTTATTTTATCTATGTTATGAGGTATTTCAGTTAGCTGTTTTATTGCAATTACATACAGGCGATGTTTTATTAATTGAGTATTAAGCAAGTTGGTAATTGGCATCATAATTGAAAAGAAAAAGTAATTCCGCATTTTAATTAAGCGCAGCTTAATACGATATTATGATAACATTACCGGATATATACGGGGTGTTACAATATTCAACGTTGATATGAGCCTGGTACTTTAAAAGAAGGTGTGCATTATAGGGCACAACATAACGATTATCAAGTTCAACACCATTTTTGTTCACAACTTTCCCATCATTTCTTCTCTTATAATGAGGAAATCCATCATCATCAATCAAAGTACGGGAGCAGAAGTTTTTTGGAAATTTTTTTGAACACCGTCCGTCCTTCATGCAAGGAGATTTGTAATTTTCAGGACCACATGGACCATGTATCATGTAACTCGTGACAGCCATAAACAGCGTAGGAGAAGAGTGATTTAGTAGTTATAAATCAATGAATATCCCGTTTTTTTAACAGTCATTTCATGGAATAAAACAGTCATTTGTTTTAATAACAATGAATATCCTGTTTTTTTTTCCCAAAAAACGTAAAGATTTGAATTAAACTGAATAAAGGTTAAAAAAATCAATTAGATTACATGATCAACATCAATTATTTAAAAAACAAAGATGACGACAAAAGAGTGATTCAATAGTTATAAATGAGATTTTCATAGAATAAAACAGTCATTTGTTTTAATAACAATGAATATCCCATTTTTTTTTAAAAAAAAACGTAAAGATTTGAATTAAACTGAATAAAGGTTAAAAAACGATTAGATTACATGATCAATATCAATTATTTAAAAAACAAAGATGACGACAAAAGAGTGATTTAGTAGTTATAAATGAGATTTTCATGGAATAAAACAGAAGTTTTTTCTAATAACAAAACACTCATACCTGATTCCACTGAATCAAGAGGTTAATAAAAGATTCAAATTTAAAAATCTGAAAATAAGGAACAAAGGTCGGGATATGTATAATTTTTTTTTTTTTACTAATTAATTTTTTTTTGAGTAAATAGAATTGTATTCTTTAAAAAATGTGAAGTTTTTGAATTAAACTGAATAAAGATTTTAAAAACAAAGATAACGACAAAGAGTGATTAAGTAGTTATAAATCAATGAATATCCCGTTTTTTAACAGTCATTTCATGGAATGAAACAGTCATTTGTTTTAATAACAATGAATATCCTGTTTTTTTTCTTCAAAAAACGTAAAGATTTGAATTAAACTGAATAAAGGTTAAAAAAATGATTAGATTACATGATCAACATCAATTATTTAAAAAACAAAGATGACGACAAAGAGTGATTTAGTAGTTATAAATCAATGAATAAGCAATCTTGACCATTGATTTAAAGTAACAAATCCTGTCAATTGAAAATATAATTCTTTTTTGTATTATTATATTCACCGATTTACCATTAAAGGAAACTTTTTTAAATGTTGTAGTGTGAACACAATGGTGAAATTGAACCACAGTGCGACACGTCAGCAAGGTTTCCACAGAATGGAATTCCTTTATAATATAAGATATATATATATATATATATATATATATATATATATATATAATATATATATATATATATATATATATATATATATGTATGTATATGCATATATGTATGTATATGTATATATATTACATGGGTTCGCTTTTTCTGCAGTTAATGCAGATAAGTTATTTGCAGTAAGCCCAATACGACGTCGTTTGGGGCAGAAATCATCGTGTTTTTGTAATTTTAATTTATTTCAGGGTTATAATAGTCTTTATATTTATAATTTTTTACGATTTCAATACCAAAATGACATCGTTTTGGGAATATATGCAGATAACTTATCTGCAGTAACTGTAGAAACATTTTTCCCATATTACATATCTGCAGCTGTTGTACGTGCATCAATTAAATACTTGCAATATATATATATATATATATATATATATATATATATATATATATATATACTTGAAAGCATTAAATGCGAGGAATCATAACCATACAAAAGATGAAAGCATTAAATATGGAAAATCATAACCATACACCTGTCGTTTTGTACGTAAAGCGGCTGCAGAAATAATTTTACCACACACACACACACATATGAAAAAATATTTCTACAGCCACTTTAGATAAGCCTATCTACAGCTACCCAAAAACTACGTCGTTTTGATTAATGAAGGGTGTTTTAGTAAAATGTATATGATAAAAGAATAAACAAAATTATGAAAACATCTGATGGGCCTTCAATAAAGTAACCAAGCCCATTACTTCAATAAAATGTATAGAGATGTTTAGGGTGGGGTTTTATTATGCATGTATTCAGAAATATTTAGTGGGAAAATTGAGAGACCTCAGGGAACTCTTGAGCCTAGGTATTTGGTTTGAGGGGGAGTTGAGACTTTCTTGGAATTTATTTTCTGCATTTATATTGTCTCAGTGTACGTAAAAAGAGGCTATGCCTCCATTGTTAATGCATTCAATCTTGTATTTCTATGGGTTCCATCAATTTACGTCTTGTATTTCTCTGGGTTCCATCAACATTTTTCATTTATTCACCTAAAATTACATAAACACCCTTCGTTGATCAAAACGACGTAGTTTTTGGGGTAGCTGCAGAAATGTTTACCCTATATATATAAAGGGTTTTATAAGAGTTATGTTGTAGAAAAAGTGATTGTGTTATGTTATAGAGATTCGTTTTGCGTGCCGAAGTTTTTTTTTTTTTGCTGCGAGTCCCACAAAATGTTGTGTGTGTAGGAAATTTTTTGTAGTCATGTTAAATGATAGATGATAAACCCATATATAAATAGGGTAACATGTTTGTAAAAAGAGAATGAATAATTTTCTTATTCTATACTTTCAAACTCTAACCTCGTTCCTCCCACGGAATTAATGAACTCTAACCTAGCTCCTCCTACGAAATTAACTATAACCTAGCTTCTCCTACATGATTAACTATTTGGTTGTCAACATGATAAATTAAGCCAATTAGATAAGATTATCATATCTTGTTGACTCAGCAAAAAACATATAAAACTAAGATATGATAAACTATCCTATTATATGTTGGGCTCTAAACGGGCCTTTAGTCTCTATTTCTCTTGAAAGAGAGGCAAGAAATAAATCTTGTTATTTGGTATTTTCCTTTCAGAAAATTTTAAGTTTTTTAAAATTGCTTTGTTGAATATTGTAACCAAAGAACACATTTTGAAAAAGCTTAATTGAATAATACCTAATGATTTGCTAATGTTAAACATGCAAAAATTGAATACATAAGAATTCGTTTTTTTTTTTTTTTAACATAAGGTCACCGTCGAGCTATTTGTTTGATACGTGCAGATAATCGTATTAATCTAAAGGCAGTAATTTTTAAATTTTTTCTTTTAAAGTACTGTTATTTCATATGCTGTGTTTCATCAGATTCTACTTCGTCATGCTATATTTTTGTTAGGTAAGATAATCAATGTCCCAATTGCTTTTTATATATTATTAAAGTAGACTTTATGTCCTGGGCTCGTCAAAAGTCAATAGCAACAAGTTGAATGATGAGATTATAAGCTTGAGAAATGTAAATACGCCTCATCCGCGCACTGCTGGAATTCGAGGACTTTGTTCTTGATTTAAATTACAAAAACTTCTCATAATTTTTTGGGAGAATAGTTTCTTCTATTGCGGAAGAAACTATTCTTCCTCCTAACTCAAATAAATATTTGATTAACTTTTTAAAAAAAAATTATGGTGGACCCCATAATATTCTTCTGTTTACAGAAGACAAAAAATCTGGAAAGACTTTAAAATCCTAAATTTTTTCCGTCAAATTATGTGAATAATGTGAAACGTATACATAACATCATTATAAAAAGGAATAAAATAAAAAAATCAACTTAAATTATATAATTGGTAGGAAATAAATAAAGGGATGCCGTCGGAATTATTGATCATGAGTACGAACATAAGATATATTTGGTTGGCATTAAATTTCCAAAAGTTTGAGTTGACTAAGAAATATAAATAAAAGATGAAGAACATTCATATTTGAAAAATTAATAATAATTTGATCTACTTGTCCAGAAATAGGAGCTGGTATTACAGATGGAAGGATGAAAGAAAACAATGGAAATATAAGGCAAAATATGTTTATTGATAAAAAAAAATTGAAATGAACATACAAAAGACACTTCTCTTGTCAAAGAGGCATTTCCTTTCAGCTGAGCATACTCATCCTAACACAATATTTTGTCAAAAGCTCCCCTTAATATATGTGTGTTCTCCTTGTATATAAATCATTAGGCTTCCCTATTAAGCTATTAACTAAATAATTGCTTCTAACTATATCCTGGCCCAATATAAGGCCCTTTTACAATTTTAGTCGTAACAATACGCCCCCTTGAAAACAACCTTGTCGCCAAGGTTGAAATTCGGATAAAAGAAAAGAAAGGAAAATAATAAATCAAATCAAAAAATAAAAAAAAAATCTCTATTTTTTTTGGTAGACAAAAAATCTCTATTTTTATTTGCCTTATAAAGTTTGCTAGTTTCAAAAGAACTAAAAGGGAAAAAATCTCTTTGTTGCCGTAAATAAGAATGTGAGGAAGTAAAAAGGAGTCTGTTACGCGAGTTAGTTGTGTATAGTAGCATGTGGTGATAGTTGTATTGTATAAAAGATGCGAATAGTGTAAAGTTGAGTCTGCATGAATAAGAAAATCTTTGTTTACGTTGTGTTATTACTCCTGTTACGAATTTTGGTATCCTAACAGGGTAGTTGTCTTTTATTTCAATCTCAAACAAGATCCCAGCAATAAAACAATTGCTTGAATAACCAGGCCGCATGTCGACTGAAAAGCTATTCCGTGAATAACGTGTTTTTCCTGTCATTATACAAACTCTTTAGGTTGTATTCATGTATTTCACATCCAACCGTCTGCAATAATTTTGAGTTTTTAAAGAGTTGCTTAGTTTATTAGGTTTCTTTGGTGATTTGAATGTCTCGTATTGATAACATCTTAAATTGATTGAATATATGGGTAAAGTATCTTTTAATAAGTAATGTTCTTTACAACCAATCTAATTAATGTTGTTGTTAAGGCTTCGAATTGTGACAAAGGATGTTGAATGCTAATTTTAGTATTTCCAGTTCTCAAGCCTAACGTGACTTCAATTCTGTAAATTAACATACAAAAGAAAGGATCATGTCTCTACAGTCTAGTGTTAATCCTGTGTAAGAATCCATTACGTTCTTCAAAACTAGTGACGCGAGTGATAACAGCCCATTGCAAAAATTATAAGCAATTCTTAGCATAGAAAATATTCTACCACACTCAAATGTATGACTATAATGCGGAATGAAAGTAGTAGTAATCTTGAAACAATTAGCTAGGATGGTAGCAAGTGGACTACCAGCTAATAACAGAGCAACTTTATCTGTATATCCGATCTCCAACTAATGGATGGTCAAAGGTTATGGAACGTAATTGATAACAAAAAATCAACACTGAGCAATTGATGGGAAGGAAACGAGTCTCCCCAGTTGTTCCGCTGCCCGGGACTTACACTTTTCCTGTAAAAGCCTAAATGAAAATAAAATAAGATTAATAGATCCATAGAATTTAAAACGAGCAAACCGCAAACATATTCAATAACTTAATGGGAAATAGTTATATTATGTTGTAGGAAATTGATTGTGTCATGCTATAGACACGACCAACGTAAATGGGATCCACGTTGATTGTGTCTATAGCATGACACAACCAATTTCCTATAACATGATACAACTATTTCCCTAACTTAATACTACATTTTGATTTTTTATCAGTTAGATAGCCCCCTAAACACAGGCAGCAATGTAAGTAAAGGCATAGCAGCAAGAGGCAGACGAATTAAGAGCGCAGCAGAAAAGATACCGAATCGAAATTACTAAAGTAAGCATGCTTTAGAGCAGCTTCGGCAGATATCCTTTTATATGGGTCCAGGCAAAGCATCCTCTGCGAAGAAAAAGAAACTAAGTGTGAAAGAAAGAATAAAAAACTACCTACTAAAAAAAATAAAGAATAAAAAATAATCTGCCAGGAATAACGGATTTCTTTCCTTCCAAAATTTTCTAACTATAAATTAAGCTTTACATCATCTATAAATTACATTCCATGAAAATATATAGGCAATTAGGATTTAGGACTTATTAAATCATTAGGTTGCAGTTACGAGAAACTGTAAATAAAAAATGCACAAAGAAACATGCATTTTAAGAAAAGAGGGGAAGGAGAAGATAAAAGGACAGACACAAGTAGAAGATAACTACTCACGACAATGCCATCCTCAATGTCAAACATATAGTGGAATCATAGGATATGCTATCACATCGAAGGAGGTGAATTATTGCAGCAACGTGATAGAAGGGTTTTATAATAAGAAGACTATTATACCCTTGTAGTCTTGTACCACAACATAGCATGGCTAATACGATGCAATGAGGTTGCAAATGAACCCAAGCGCCTTGTCTCACCAGGCAACAAAAACAAAATGAGAGAGAAAATGGAACTTACCGATAGAAGATTAAGGCCATCTGGATCAAGATCAACAAAAATTGTCGACAGGTCCTGCACAGTAGCAGAGAAGTACATAAATTTTATAGCTTCCTAATATTGTATAACAGGACAGTTAGTGAAATAACTCATATTGGAGAAATGAGAATTCAGTACCAATGGATGAAATTGGACGTATGTTTGAAGGTGAGGACATAATTGAGTGACTCCTGGCCATGTTTCCTCTGTCGGGGTCCCTAATAGTCTTCATATAGAATATCTTGGTTGGTTCTATTGCTGAAAAGAAGGAAAATAAATGGTTTCTGTCTTTCAACTTACCTGAAAATCGCCTCTATTTCATCCTGGCAATTGGTAACATGGAGTACAGGTTTTCCAATTACCATCTCACCAAATATACAGCCCACAGACCACAAATCAATTGGAGTTGAATATTGACGGGATTCAAACAAGATTTCAGGTGCCCTATAGCAGTAAGTTCCTACCTGACAATAAAGATTACATGAGTTGTACAATACCAACTAGTAGAATCCATGATTTGTTCACCTTAATAAGATCGTTATTTGTATACCAACAAAAAATGTATATGTATGACCGTTATTTTATAAGGTAATCTATTTGGTGGCTTTTGTATGAAAGCTGTCATGAATGTTTTAAAAAAAAAAAAAACGAAGTTGAAATCCAAAGACAAAACCCAACAAACTTTTTTTTTTTTTTACTTTCTTCCATTCGTGAGTAATTTCCCAAAAATCCACTCATACTATTTAGTATTTTCTTATTTTACATTTAAAATTAAAGAAAGTGAATTCTGAAAGAAAAAAAGTTGACAAAAACATATAATCTAATTAAGCATATATCCAGGAAAACCGTAAAATTAAAAACAAAAAAGTAGCAATGAAGCAATAATGGCAGCAACAATGGCATATATGAAAAAAAATTAAACGTTAAAACTGGAAATCAATATGAAAAAGGTTCACTGCCATACTTTCGCAGTATATAACATGTCAGGGTCTCCAAATTCTCTAGCCAAACCGAAATCAGCGAGCTTGATTATCTTTTTAGAATGATCAATCAGCAGATTCTTTGGTTTCAAATCTCTGTGGAGAATCTTATGAGAATGACAGTATGCCACAGCAGAGAGTATTTGATACATAAAACTCTGGTAGAACCAAAAAAATAAAAATGAATTTTCAAGACTCATTAATCTGGAATGGAGAAATTTATAATTGGAGAAAAAACTCATATACCTTTATAGTCATCGAATCCTTAGGGTAACGTTGATCTCTTATGTAATCATGAAGATCACAATCAAGATGCTCGAAAACGAGATTCGCGTATTTGTTTTCGGGGATGATTACATTCAACAACCTAACGCGAAGGTATTGAAATATAAAACCAAGTAAAGATACCATGAAACATAAACTCCAGTAGGCAAAGACTCCAAGATAGCAATGTACCTGACAACGTTAACATGGTTCAGTTCTTTAAGAAGTGAGACTTCTCTAGGGACGGAACTTGGAACACCTTCATTTACGCCAAGCATGTCGATCTGTTTGATGGCCACAATCTGGTCGGTCCTGAGATCGCGGCACCGGAAAACTCTGCTGAAGCCGCCCTGGCCGAGCTGCTCAATAACCTCGACGTTAGATCCCTCAAAGCTGGAATCGCGATCTTGATTGCGCCTACGACGACGACGACGACGACGACAGATTCTGCACTCGACTAGGCGTATCAACCTGTTCCAGAAGAAAAGTTCCAATCAATTTTCCAGAAGAAAATATTTAATTCAATTCACGGAATCAATTTCGATTTTTAACATGAATGATTCCCGAATAACAGAGGAACTTACAGGGAATCGGAGGAATCTGAATCATATTCTTCACTCGACATTCTGAAAATGGAAGCAGAGAGAGAGAGAGAGAGAGAGAGAGAGAGAGAGAGAGAGAGAGTATTGGAAATGAACGATAGAAGAACTGGAAAAGTGTGAAGCCCATTTATTCGTCGATTGGCATTTCCCGCCAAAACGAACAGAACAAGTAACGAACTTCACACTTACGAATTGAGGATTGCCACGTGGTACATCCACTGACTAACTAATTATTTCAATTCGTTGTTTTTCTTTCTTTCTTTCTTTTTTCATCGCATGCTCTCTTTGCTTCTCTCACAGTGCTGGTTCGTACCGAACACTCGAGGATTGAAGATAAACTCCAATCCAACAAGCCACGAGGAAACCAGCAATTCCTTGTTTGTTAATTAAAGGGGTTTGGTTTGTCACGTCTCATGCTGTGACTCAAATAATGGTGAACTTCATATTTATTAACAAAAAAAAAAATTTGCACATAAATCGAAAGATCACAATGTAAGAATTCAATTGTCATGCAACATGAGAAAATATTTTTTCTTAATTAAATAAGTATTATGATTTATTTGCATTTTGTTATTACAAATTGTTTAGTATTTAATTGTTTTGTATTCAATATAAATTATATATTTTGTATTTAAAATTTGGGGAATGTTATAGTTACTATCTCTTTTTCTTACTACTTGTTACTACTAAATTGTAACCGTTGATTTCTATCAATCTAACAGTTATAATTTATGGGATCATACTTATTAACTTATTAATTTATTAATTTCCAATAAATTATAACCGTTAGATTAGCGGAAATCAACGGTTATGATATAGTAGTAACAAGTAGTAAGAAAAAGAGGTAGTAACTATAACTTATCCCTTAAAATTTACCCAGCTGAAAATCTGCAAATTAGTGAAATGACCAGATCTCTTTACTAGTTTCGATTGCAGTTCAATTCATTTAACTATGATTTGCAGATTAAATTGCTTTGACTTTCTTCTAAAACGATTTTTTCCTTTTCTTTTTGATAACATGGTCGCGTGGTAGGAATTGAATATACAATTAAGATATACGTCTTGCTTAGAAGACAAGGATATATGCCTACTATTTATATCTCTTAATAATCTAGGCAAAAGCACTGTATAGATGTATAGATGCAGTTGGACAAAAAAATTGCTTAGTTATGGGTCAAAATATAAATAAGTATAAAGTATAGGAACCATTTTGCAAATAAGCAAAATTAGGTCTAAATTGATTTAGATGATATAATTAATGGCTTTAATGTTTTTAAAGTCAAAATAGATAAGCTATCTACATTCGTTCCCAAAACGACGTCCGTTGAAAAATTAAAAAATTATAATGAAAAAGATTATTATAACCCTGAAATAAATTATAATTACAAAAATAACTTGATTTCCGCATCAAAACGACGTCGTTTTGGGCTCACTGTAGATAAGTTATCTACATTGACTGTAGAAAAAGCGAACCCATAATTAATTTGTTTAGCAAATTCTATAGATTTAAAGTAGTCTTAGATTAGTCTAACTATGATTAGATAATTAATTAATATTAGCTCAAAGTTCTATTAAAATCAACCAATAAGAATTCTTATAGGTTAAAATAATTACTAAATCAACAAAGTAAGTTTAATTATTAAGTTACCATGCTTGTTCATGAAGCAAGGTCAATTACCCCTCTCCAAAATTGCTCTTGGCCGACTTACATAGAAGGGAAAGAAGGTTGGACATCAAGTTAACTAATTCAATTGGTTAGAAATCAAAGAAAGTCAACAAAAGTGGCTAGTTAGCTTTTAAATGTTTATAAGTTAAATCTTCATGTTTCTTGCTTATCTTTCACACAAGTTTTTTGATATTTTCCTATGTAGATACAAGGTATATTTTGATGATAACAAAATGACAACAACAAAAAGAGAAGAGCTTTGATCAAGAGCAAAAAGCATCAACCATATATGGATATTGAAGATGTATGATGTAGCCACACAAGAAGAGTGATGTCATATCAAAGTGGCAAGATCATTGAATCAAGAGCAACAAAGAATAATTAGAAGAGCAACACCAATGATCAAAACCAACAAAGTGTCAAGCATTGTCATATCCAACAAGTCAAAGCATCAAGTTCAAGTAAAGATCCAAGACACAAGACATAAAGCTAAGTCTAAAATCATATTTGGAATATATCTTTAGGACTTAGAATATATGTAAGGGTATATGATAGATTGCATTGCATGAGCTCAAAGTTTTTCTCAAAGTAAACGTGTTTTTCGAATTGCATAATCATAACCTTTATATACTTGAAAGAAATTTGAAAAACTCATGGAAAAGATCCTTGACATATTTTATAACTTCAAAACATATTTATCAAGTCAAGATCTTTCACAAAAAGTGGTTATAAGCAAGTTAGAACAAATATTAAGCAAGTTAGAACAAAAAGTGGTTAGAAGCAAGTTAGAACATTTTTTTTCACAAAAAGTCAAGATCTACAAGCCGTTTCGCTGCTGACTTCCATACTTTTTTTCGTATCCAAGATGATGGATTTGGATCTTGTGTTCTTCATATAAGTTGTAAATCTTTTTTTATCTTTCCAACGACACCAATATCACATCAATCTAACAAGTATAACTCAAATTATGCCCAAAATACGAAACAGTGTTCTTGCTGTCAGGTTGGTAATCGATTACCATAATATGGTAATCGATTACCATTTGAGGTAATCGATTACCCATCATTTGGTAATCGATTACCACTGTGACATAATGCATATAACGGCTATAAACGGTTAGTTTTCAATGGAAACACTATATATACATTCCTAATGACTCTAAAACGCATTGGGCATCATTCCTACACATATTAAGCATATTTTGAGAGCTTTTACACTATCATTTGCATATTCTTTCATATCTTTCAAAGATCAAACATATTTGAGCTCATATCTTGAAAATTCATACCCATAGTGCTTCAAGTTGTATATCCACACTTTGAGAGTGTATGTTCATTCCCAAATATTTCTATCCTTATATTCTTGAGTTGAAAGGGTTGTGAGACCCATTGTTTGAGAGGTAGCCAAATACCTAAGTAAATTTGGAGTGAATTGTAAGGTTGCCAAGTACCCGTAAACTTAGAGATTGTAAGCTATCCAAGAACCCGAAGTCTTGGAAGATTGTAAAGGTTTGTCAAGCACCCATGAAGCTTGACTATTAGTGAAAGAGTTGATCGAGCGGCTTCAGTCTGGACGTAGGTCACAAGTGGTGGTAACCGAACCAGGATATATTGTGTTTGCAATTCTCTAAACTCTATACTCTTTATTTCTAGAACTTTAATTGTTTCTTTGATATCTTGTATGTGCCAGAATAAATTCTATAATTGTGATATATTATATATTAAGGATTGTTTGAATGTATTGATTAGCTTTTCATATATCAAAGGTTGCTTGAAATGATTATTTAGAAACTAGAAGGGAGCTTTTGTGAAAATCTTGTAATACTCAATTCACCCCCCCCTCTTGAGTATGGAAGCCACATTCCTAACATCCTCTGCATAGACCAACCACCATTGAAGAGCTTTGAGAGCTCATTTCTCTTTGAAAACCTCGCAAAAATATCATGACTATTTCACAAGAAGTTTTCCCTTCAACCTTAGGAATCTTTCTATGGTTTTAGTTTCTCCTTGAAAGCCTTCAATCTCTTGTTTTTTTTTTCTCATGAAGGCAGCGACTTTGGTACTGTTCATTGGGAAAAAGTTGAGCTATTTTCATGTTTGAAGGTTGTGGAATGATCTCTAGGTGATTTGGAGGTATTGGTAACTCAAGTTTAAATGGTTAGTTTTCAAGTTATAATTTTAGGTTTTTGGATGAACATGGATATGTTGTATCATGTGTTTGTGATGTTTGTTGATAAGTATTCATTGTATTTAATGGTTATGGAGTTGAAAGAAACAAGTACGAATCATTGAGAGTTGTAAAAGATTCATAAACATTGTTAAGTATCAAATCTGGCCTCTGTTTTGCAAAGAGCATATCTGAAGTTATAGGACTTCAAATTGAGCGTGGTTTGTACCAAATTAAAGCTATACATTTATAATACAACATATCAAAAATTCAGCGCAATATGATTAGAAATGTAATATTCGTGTATAAATTAGTGCAGACTGTTAATGCTAGAAATTCCTGGATGTCATTTCGGCCATACTTGGAATAATTGTCTAAGAAGTTATTTTCATGTTATAATAACCCTAATTTCATACTTTCGAAATTAGAGGATTATTAGGAGGACCTTAGGGTCATAAATGGAATGAGGATGAAATTCTAAGAAGTTTGATATCCATATTGATGGTATTTTACACAGGTGAATTTTCATCTATTATTTTTGACTGCTGACGCAGTAACAGTCAGTAGAATAGCTCCAATTTAGCAAATTAGAGTTACACAACTATTTTGATGATATGATTATCATAGATGAGGTTAGTATATGATTTGATGAAGTTTGATACCCATATTGGGGTATTTTGGAAAAGTCACTTCTGCCGGGTATTTTGTACTGCTGTAGTAGCAGCCGATAGAATCCCGAAACTGGAAAAATATGAGAAAAGGGAAAGAAAGAACAATATATGTCTACCAAGTCATAATTATACCAATAATGTTAAAGTAAAAAGATTATGAAATCCGGGTACAATTAAGAACACGATAAAGACTACAGTGCAATTAAACAGCTGTAAGTGGATCTGTGATCTACTAAACAAATTTTTAAGTTATGAACATGATAATTAGAAAAAATTAATATTAATTACTTAAATTTAGAGTCTTGGGTGTTTTCAGGTAAATATTTGATAACAGTTCAAAGAAAAATTACACCGGGTGTCACTAAATGACAGAAAGCCACTTAATGACATGGCATAAACCCTAAAAATATAAGGGACCCTTCCCCTCATTTCTGATCAGCATCTTAGCATCCCCCTCTCTCTCTAAGTTTGAGTTTTTAAATTTTCCCCACCTTTTCTCTAAGATTCCACCACCAAAACTTCATCAAATCACCAAACTTTCTTCACAAAACTTGTTCCTCTCATCCTCCTCTTCAAGAATATACCATTTTTGTTCTTGGAAGCCAAATTTTCGTGGTGAATCCCTCCCCAAGAAGCAACTGTTTTGGAGTTTTTCATGCCATGGAGATGTTGTTTTGAGTTCTCTTGGAAGAACACTCCTTGGTGCTTGTTTTCTTGAATTTTAGTGCAAGTCTCTTGAATCTTTTTTGTGTGAAAAATCCCACCTTTGAGTTATGTTCTTGAGTTCTAACTGAGTCTTTGTTAAAGGTGTGTTCTTGGTGAAAAAGACTCATCTTTGTTTGAGAAAAGTGAAAGCTTGAAGCCTTGGAGCTAACTTGAAGAAGTAAGCATAGTTACTTGGAAAAATGGTTATCAAAACTCTCCCACACTCACCTATATGATTTGGCCAACATGTGTTCTTATGAGGGTTGATGTGTTTAATTGATGAAAATTGGTTCTTGAGATTGCTATGTGTGGACAATCATGTGTGGACAATCATGTGTAGGACCAAGGGAAAATGTAAAAATGCAACCTTTAAGCTTAAAAACGCTAATCTTGATTTAGGAATGAGTTTACACTCTAATGAATTTATTATATCAAGTATGTCCTAAATAGTATGATTAGGGTTTTATGTTTAAAATTTAATTAAATGATGGATTAATGGACTAATTAAGTGTAAAACTTAATTAACTAATGAAATGGTAACAAGTTAAAAACCTAGTTTTTATAACTTAAACAATTCAGCCACCTAAGGACCAATTGGGTTAGGATGTTAAAAATTAGTTCAAGACCTAATTAGGATACTAATCTAAGGTTTAAGTAAGGTGGACCATGCATAATGGATTAATTCACTATAAAAACCCTAAAATGGACTTAATGAGGGTTTAGAATAGACTCGTACTATGTTATCGGACCAGGTCAAATTGAAATTTTTTGACATAGACTTGGGCTTTTCGGGACAAAGTTCGGCTCAGACCAACCTACTTTCACCCCTAATCATATCATCTCATACGTAACTTCCAAGAAAAGTTCACAAGGGCTGTGTCTCTTAGGTATCTGTACCCCAAGGATATCTGAAGGCTTTGTCCAAGGGAAGTTCACATGCATTCATATATACATACAAACATCTCTATATATCATACATAATATTTTCTCATATGGAACTTCCAAGAAAGGTCCATAAGGGTTACGTCTCTTAGATATCTGTACCCCAAGGAGGTCTCAAAGATAGTGTCCAAGGAAAATCCATACATGCAATATACTTTCAAGAAAGGTTTCGAAGGCTGTGTCTCTTAGGCATTAAGCCCCAAGGAGGTCCCGTAGGCTATGTCCAAGTAAAGTAAATGCATATATAATTCTATTGTCATTCATCATTAACATACTTTCATATCATCAATCATTTATCTCATAATGCATCATGCTATGTCATGCTACAACCATTCACATTCATAACTTAACCATTACTCAAATAAAGCATGATGGAACAAACAAGGGGAATAACCCCAAGGTTCAGAAGTTTACCCTTTTGTAGACTTCGGTTCCAAGCTTACTTTTCCTCAAGAAAACTCAATCACCAACACAACACAAGCACAACCTATAGCAATATTATAGAAAGGTGATTAATAACTCATAAACACAACAAACATTAAGTAAATGGCTAGTCTTTCCTCATGAAATTCAACATTCACAACTTACCCTCTTTGTCAATTTTCAAGAAACTTGATCTTGAACCAATGGAGCTTTCAATGGATTTTTCTCAACTAATGTATTACTTAGAACAACTCTACAACATTAATAACACCACAACAACTATTAAAGTCAACCCAAAATTCATAATTTCCATGGAATTATTCATCAAGAACCTAACATTCTCATTTCTCCATGAAAACTTGAAAGGAGTGTGATTTACTTACCACAAATCACCCAAGAATGGAAGGAGAAAGGCTCTTCAAGCTCTCATGAGCTTCAATCCACTCAAAATCCCAAATTTTTTTGAGAGGAAAGATATCTCTTTATAGTGCTTCCCACATGAAAATGAGGGTTGATTTATGCTCCTAGGAAGATTCTAAGCAAGTTTGGATTTTGAACAACTTGATTTCATAAAGTGTAGCTCAAGTTATGATTTCCTCTCATCTCCCATGGCTTCCACAAAAATGAAGAAGAAGAATAGGTTGATGGTTTGTGTTTTGGCTCTTAATGACTTGCTTAAGTGACTTAAACTTAGTTGACTTGGTCAACACCTCTTTACTTGGTAACTTATTCACTTTTTTAACTAACCATGACTTAACATTTTACTAATGTGTGTTTAATTCACAATCAATGAATTTAATCATCTATGATGGATTTTAACATTAACTAAACTCATAAGATAATATCTCACTAAGTTATTCTTAAGTTTTCGGTAATTTTTGCAATACTGCATTTTTACCCTAAAACTCATTGTGATTGCATTTTTATCTGAAAAGTAATTTTATTTCATTAATAGATTTCTTATCTAATTAATCTCTCTTAATTATGGAAAATCCCCGAATTATTCACTTTATAGGTTTAGGTTATTATATTAGCCGTCACTATGTGTACACTCCAGACATTGACTATGTTGCTACTTTATTGTGCACAACGATCTGCTCACCTTCAACGATATCTCGCCTATAGATATCTGAGAGAGCCCAGAGATCTAACAGAAATTCCCTAGTCCCAAACTAGACATCTCGATCCACAGGATCAAACACTTTTAGTTACTTGAATTATTCCTCATACAATCGTTCCTCCTTGCAAAAGTGTGGAACGCCAACAATAACATATTCTATCCAAAGGATTAAGATTTAGTACATGGTGCAAGTTATCAGTGGCACGAGGCTTTGTACTCCAATCTAGTAGCCGAACTCTTTTACTGCATCCATTCTTTGTGACTCACAAGCGTTCCTCGTTTACTGTACTCTGTTCCTTATTTCCCATTGCGCGTTCCTTGTTGTTTTGTTCCTTATTTCTCTGTACAACTTTAATTTACTCGTTATTTTAGTTATTTTATTTTACTTACAACTTCTCTAACCTATTTTTGTATCATTTTTCTCGTGGGAATGATAATATGAGACATTATAATCTCATTTATTACTTGAACGCGTGCACTTGTCTAGTGCAATGATCATCTTAGAGATTTTTCTTAGGTGATCCGTGCGCCAATAGCGAGCTATATAAGGGGTGAGAGATTATCTGCTATGAGGATATAAAAATCTCACTTTATGAAAATATAAGACGCTTTGATTGGGCCTTTAGACGATGACCAATGAACTAAGATCCTAGGCATGGTCTAGAACATCTATCATAGTCACTTATATAATGTTATCTTCTTCTTTTTTTGACTCTGCATTAAACACTTAACTTCAACATAAAAAAAAATTAACTATTTATTTAATCATTTCAATTTTAATTCTCTTATAAAAAAAAACATAGCGATAATGAGTAATCATTGTTCCTTATGGTATAATATGTTCTCTGGTTGATTGGTGTAAAAAAAAAAAAAACCTTTTTCACTCAAATCCTGCAACTTTCAACCCAAATTTTACTGCAAATAAAACAATCCATCCAAAATAAATAAAGAGTAAATATCCTTTTTTTGTCCTCAGAAAATTTCACGAGGCCCGTTTTAGTCCCTAGAAAATAAAAAGACCCATCGTGGTCCCTAAAAAGTTTAAATTGAACCCATTTTAGTCCTTTTGAGAATTAATATGGCTCTTTTTTGAATTTGTGAGGGACCACGATTTCAACTAAATGGATCCTTTTGAATTTTTGAGGGACCACGATGGGCCTTTTAATTTGCTAGGGACTAAAACGGGTCTCGTGAAATTTTCTGAGGACCAAAAAAGATATTTACTCATTAATAAAATAAGAATAATGGTAGTTACTTTAAAAAAAATTGGGATACATATTTTTTTAAAAATAATAGTGAATAAGTTGTTCAATAGATTGGGTTTGCCCGTAACATATTTTGTACCTTTATTTAAAATATGTGAAGAAAATGGATCTGACTGTCTGCAATTATTATTAGAGTAAATATCTTTTTTGGTCCCTGGCAATATCTACAAAATTCTTTTTAGTCCCTGGCAATAAAAAAGGACCAAATTGGTCCCTAACAGTATGTAAAAAGGGCCACGTTAGTGACAGAGGAGTTGATATAAGGACTAACGTGACCCTTTTTTCATAATTTTAGGAACCAATTTGGTCCTTTTTTATTGTCAGGGACTAAAAAGGATTTCGTAGATATTGCCGGGGACCAAAAAAAGATGTATACTCTTATTATTATTTGAAACAGAGTTCCAGATCCCCTTGAATTCTAGTCGGAAATCCCAGCTGAAAATAATAATAATAATTCAACAATCCAAAATAAATAACTTAATTAAATACCATATTAAATAAATATCATTATATACAAATTATGTCTCTCTCTATCTCCATTGTACCTATCAAGTACGCTTACATGTACCTTCAAAACTTCCCTCATCAATCGTTAACCACTCTCCTCACACAATTACTCTACAGTCCTACACAACTACGCAAAATCCTTTCTCTATATATTCTCCCTCCGCTTCACACCCTCCACGCTTTTAATTCTTTACAACTTATTCTCTTCTCAATTTTCAATACGCTTCTCTAACTTTCTCTCTCCACCCCCGCGTTCCCAATCTGACTCAGAAAGCTATGAAGCAGTTGATCCGCAAGCTCTCCCGAGTCGCCGACTCGTCGCAGTACACTCTCCTCCGGTTTGAGTCCCGCAGGGAGCGCGGCACGGCGGTTCCAAAGGGCCACGTGCCGGTCTATGTGGGCGAGGAGATGGAGCGGTTCGTGGTGAACGCCGAGCTGCTGAACCACCCGGTTTTCGTGAAGCTCCTGAACCGGTCGGCTCAGGAGTACGGTTACGAGCAGAAGGGCGTGCTACGAATCCCCTGCCACGTCATCGTCTTCGAGCGAGTCCTCGAAGCGCTTCGACTTGGCCACGACTCGGGCGATCTCCGCGTCATCCTCAGTTCCTCTCCTGAAGAGTTTTGCTAGGAAAGGTGTTGAAATCGAATTAGAAAGATAGAGAAGAGAGGTGGGAGAATTTTTTTTCTTCTTCTTCTTGTTTTTTCGTGTTTAATAAATTAATAATTTGTAGAATTCCAGTTTAAATAAATATAAAAAAATTCTTAATTAAAATTAGAAATTAATAATATTTATGAAATAATTACTAAGTAGATAATTTAAATTATTATGACAAAGATAATTTATTTTAATTACAAATAATTAGTATAAGAAAATAATAATAAAGATTGCTATCATTTCGCGTAACACAAATTTTTTCAGAAAATTAGGAAGAGTGTAAAGTAGCATACGGTGAAGTAGTTAAATCGATTTTTTTGTTTTTCTTCTTTTGTATAAATATACATTACAATCTTCTAAAGAAAAAAGCAAAGAAAATTTTAATTCTTTTCTGTTTTTGTTTTTTGTTTTTTCGTGTTACTCTGCAACACTACAACTAATGAAACTGCTACGGAGAAAGGAGAGAATTCCTTGTCTTTTATTTTAACTGACGAACAAACAGAAATAAAAAAAACAAAAGAAAAAAACAAAACGGAAATATCAATGCACGGGTGATTTTGAAATGTTCAAATATACCGTTTGGAAAGTACCTAAAGGACTTCTATTTTTATTTTTTTTTATAATGAAACTAATTAAATTTTTTGTAATAATAAAATACATGTTGTGAAATTGGAATAGAAAACAAAGAAATAAAATTGTAGAGATAAAAAAAATATTGAAATAAAAAATAGAAGAAGAGAATAGAGGGAAACTCGTGTCGAACTTTAGTCAATTTCACATCACCAATAACATGTATTTATAGGCTAAAGAAGAGTAGATAAAGCGTTAATTACCATAGAGATGATACAACTGGTTACAGTACTCTTAATGGATAATATATAAAGACAAGAAGATGTAAAGACGCGGAGATAAAGAGGTAAGGAGGTGAAATATTCACAAATTTAGTTTATAACACTCCCCTTTGAATGTCCACCTTTTATTATACGTTGACTTAGATTGCCTTATAAAAATCTTTCCAAAAAAAATTCTATGAGATAAAAACTTGATAAAATAAAAAAGAGTGCAGTACATATAACTTTCTATCAATTGAATTATATAGCTATAGTTGGAGTTAAGGAAGTCGATCAACAGTTACAATTTTTCATATTGGTTATCTCGTAATTTTCTCTCGAAATAAATCATAGTAATGTCTATTCAATTGGATTGGTAACGCTCATTTATAACACATCTCATTAGAAATCATTGTGTTAAGTTCATGCCTCATTAAAACCTTGTTAGAAAACACAATATGAAAAAAAAAACTAGCGAAGGAAACAGTACATGAGATGCGCTACCAAACATTGAAAAATTGTCTTACTAAAAACCTTTGACCAAGAAAAACCCTTTGGGAAAAAAAACTTGGCAAAGGAAAAAAAACTTGGCAAAGGAAAAAAAGTACAGTAATAAACCTTCAGAGATTTTCATATAAATATCATAGTCAAGTGACATTGTAGTCACAATGCCCATTAAATGTGTCTCAAGATGTATCCTCGTTGCCACACTGATCAAGTAACGAAATGTAATAAAATCCATTATGAAAAAATATAAAACATCATAATTGATGACAGGTATCTACGAAAATTCTTATTCTCCCTTAATTGCCTCATTTCTTAAATTCCTACCTGAATACTTATGGCATTCTTGAATAGTTTTAGGTTTTGGATCCAGATTATAGCTTGAGACAACAAGAGCTACTGAGAAGGCAATGGTGTCATCGACAATAGTTATAATATTATCATAATTTTATCTTGTATCAATATAGTTTATAACATATGTCAACTTTAACCAAATCTTGGTTTTTCCATGACATCTAGAATTGGCCATTGTATTCCCAAGATTATTATAATTAGCAGCTGCTTTTATTTCACCGGGTTTGCTTCTTTAGGATTAACCTCTTCAAGAGGCGCGATAAGTGACTTATTTTGTTTTTTCTCGAATTTATGTCATTAACCCCTACAGGTCATTCATTCTTTTGGCATTGACTAGGCTCAAACTTATTTTGTCACATTGGAATCTCCAATATAGGTGACCCATTCTTTGAAAGAATATATGATTTAATGATGTTTGGCATTTGTCTTGCTAAATTTTGTAATTGAATGATGTTTTTGAACTTCAAGTTCAGTTATAGATGTACGTGCACCAAAATAATTCATTTGATTTTCTTTCAGAATAATTTCCCTGGATTCAATACACTCATGGCTTTCTCCCCTTAATATTGGAAAATATATCTCATTAAATATTTAATCAACGAATCTGCAGTAAACAAGTCACCCATCAGGCTCCAAATCTTTGATTCTATACAGAGTCTCAAAACCTAATGTAAATGCCCAGTCATCTTTGAGGCCCCATTTAGGACGGTGTGGAGGAAGTGTAGAGACATATATAATATAATCAAAAATGCGCAAATGGGAAATATAAGGTTCTTATCCACGTACAAGTTCAAGAAGGGAGTATGCTTAAAAGCAATTGATCTAGTGAACATCATGTTCATGGTCATTTTTTAAAAATAATGACAAATACACAAACATTACTTCATATCTTTCCCTCGTATTTTTCTATATTGGGACCACTTTTGGGGTCATCTTCGTAGAAATAATAAGTTGTCAGTGTATCACATCATATCATATCACAACATATCATATAATCATATATCAAATCGTATTATAACTACTATCATATCATATACATTGACCTCTTTTGGATTGTAATTTCGAATATTTATTTTTGTTTCAACATCAAACATCAACAATACCTTTATCCCAAATTAATTTGGGTCAGTAGTAGATGAACCTAAATGAAATGTACAAAGGGATAAAAAAATAATAAAAATATATAAATATAAAAATAAAAATAAAAGTGGTGTAAAAAAATTAAATAAAATAAAATAAAAAAGAATTAGGAGAAGAAAATGAAGAAGAAGATGGGGAAAGGAAAAGAAGAAGAGGGGAAGATGAAGAGGAAAAGGACTAAAATGGGACAATCTGGAACATAGGGAGATTTATTTTTGTTTGTCAAGGAAAAATATCATTTGTTTACTTTAGATTCATTAGGCATTTTATTTGCATGATGTCCTTTAGGGACAATCAATCGCACAAGAATATTTGTAATGGTTTGCAATATTCTGCAAATCCATTATTGTTTGAACTTCAAGTTCACTAGCATTTGGGCATATAACTAGATGGAAAATATTGGTGAGTTCCAACAAATTTTATTGGCCTTTTTTGGCCTTTCACCTTTTTCTTCCATAATGAAAGGAAAAATAATTTCATCAAATCGAATCATCTAAATTAATAACTAGCTTTTCTAGTGCCACTGTTATGCCAAATATTGTTGTAAACATACCTATGGTAATAGTTGTGGCCACGACCACATCCACGATTATGTAACACTGTATTGCATCCACTTTAATGAATGACAAAAAATGAATTGGTCATTGTTAATTTTTTTTTATCAAATATGACCATAATTTTTACCATGTCTAAAATTATAGTTTACTTTAGGAAATTTGGTTCAATCCATTGACCAAACTTTATGAGAATTTTTCTCTCTATAAAATTACTTCTAGAGCAAATTCAAGAGACATAAAATATTAAAAATATTTTCTTCTCAATATTTTATTTCAAATTATTTGGTAAATATGTATGACCTTGTTGCGACTTTAGCAAGTTTACTAGTCGTATAAGTAATAAAATGATAAGTAAAGATCGTTCCCACGAGGATTTGTGTTCAAACACCAACTAACCATTTATAATTAAGTTGAATCAAAAAAGAATTCATTGAATACATTGATAATTGTCACCAGAAATTGAATTGTATTTGGACTTGATAAAATAACTAAAATGTGAATTATAATTTTACAACAAGTAGTAAGAAATCAATGTTCCTCAACCATAAACTTATGTAAGAATCAATCCCATTATGAATTATCTTCCATGTTATGTCAATCAACCTTTTTATTATCACCAAGATGTAATCCCTTACTACCTTGGTTGATACATTAATCAAGAACCCCAATCCCTTGGTAATTTCCTTCTTAATACATACATTAATCACTAAGATTTTAAAGATTACATCAGAGTACTAGTTCCAATCCCTTGAATACTAGAACACTGATGATGAAATTGCCAGTTACAGAAATAATGTAAACATTTCTGTTCTACACCACTCCCTTAATGAAAAGAATTGACAAAGACAATTTCATATCATCACATAAAAGATAATCACAATATTCAATCAACCATACATAAATTCATCTTTGAGTTCTATTGAAATCTAACTACAAAGGACCCTACTCAGACATAAGAAAAGAAATAACAAAAGAAGAGGAAAGATCAAACTCCATTGTCATGATGTTGAATCTTTAATCTTCAATCACAATTACATAAAGTACACTAAACTAATACAAGACTAAGAACTAAGGAATTTGGAAATTCAGAGAATGAAAAGTCAGATCAGATCTATAAAAGATCAGATCTGATCCCTTTTTTTTTAAGTGTGAAGACCCCTTGCCCTTTTATAGTTTACAAATTCCAACTGAATAACATCCAAAAACTGACACGGGCGCTAAAACGTTCCTTGTTGGACGTTTTAGCGTTCAACTTTGACGGATGCCCAACTGCTTTCAACTGTCCTCAGCGCTAAAACATTTGACTTGAATGTTTTAGCGTTCAAGACTTGAATCTTTTTGAACAGCAGAGCGCTAAAACTTTTGCTTTGACCGTTTTAGCGCTTGGCACCAGCACTTTTTGGCTTCATTTTGCAGCAGCGCGCTAAAACGTTTGCTTTGGACGTTTTAGCGCTCAACACTTGAATTCTCCAATTTCTTCAGAATCTTCTCCCTTCTCTCTTTTGCTTCTCGAGCTTCATTTTCCTACAAGAACAATGTAAATTTTCAACACAACTTTCATAACTTGTATTTAGGACTTTCCAGGACA